GGGGGGGGGGGGGGGGGATATATCATCCGGAAGGGCAATGGTTTATGGTGTTTATTTTCAATAAAGTAATTAGTCAGTTCTCACGGGGACAATCCATATTTTCGGAGGGGCATTGACCCCCCTTGCCCCCTGTTGCAACTGGTCTGGTTTGTACTATCAGTTCCAGGAATCTTGTGCCGCCACTGGTACTGATAAACGATTTGTTATATCATTTTACATAGAGATTTATTATAAGTCATTTTCTTCTGCATGCCACGATAAAAATATACACCGAAATCTAACATTCTAATTGAAGGTAAGGAATATTTGATTTCGGACAAACTTTTATGTTATCTAGCTGGATGTCAAACAGCGTGTATTGAGATTCACTGATAGGGGCACCTGCTGGCACTGTGCTACTTTAATCTCAAAACTGGTTTATTTCTATATTGTGTTTTATTAATATTATGCAGGGTATCTCAAAACTGGTTTATTTCTATATTGTGTTTTATTAATATTAGGCAGGGTATCTCAAGTCTGATTTATTTCTATATTGTGTTTATTAATATTAGGCAGGGTATCTCAAGTCTGGTTTATTTCTATATTGTGTTTTATTAATATTAGGCAGGGTATGTTGACCCATCAGAAACTTATTTAGATCCACTGATAGGGACACCTGCTGGCACTCTGCTATTCCATTCTCAACTCTGGTCTATTTTTGTATTGTGTTTTAATAATATTAGATAGGGTATACCAAGCCATCAGAAACTTCCGATGTCAGATAGTAGTTTGTAATGTATTTAGATCTACTGATACGGGCACCTGCTGGCACTCTGCTATTTCAGATATCAGTCTATCGTGAAAGAATCGCTTGTCGAAAGCAAGTTTATTTTTGGTATTGATAAGAGATCATTTTATGCTGACAAGTGATTCGGATATAAAATCCTCGTCAGGTTAGCTTGATAATGTTCAATATTCTGGGATACAGTTGAAATAACGCAGTGTAGTGATGTACTGTACTCAGTATAAAACGTTGAGTACCAAACTGCGTTCTTCTGTAAGTAATGGCTTGTACTATAGACTATATATATTATGAAGTTGAGTTCACTGCAAACTTAATCACAATAATACTGTGTAGTTTACAGTAAGTAGGATATCAAAACATTACACTGAAGGCGAACGTTTGGTCTTTAATATTCGGAAATAATGATGTAAAATGATGAAACGTGTGCAACAGAACTGACAAGTGTTTCCTCGATAACACTGGTGGTACATGCAACGTAAATCATTGAAACGATGCATAAAAAATACTTTGGTTAAAGGTGGGTAATTATTGTTTATAAACCTCAGGGATCGTAGTTAACAAAGCCTACACCAAATAGATATTGACAATGTGAACTCTCTGGAGGGATGGCAAGTCTGTTTTGTTTGAATTTCTCGGCATTCTGAGAATATCAGTACTATTTTGAGGCTGATATTCCAATACAATTCTCTTCAAAGATTTAGAAAAAATCCAAAATCTTTTTTCTTTGCTCAGACAATAGGCCGTTGCTTTTATGGGAATTTATTCTCATCTCATCAACCTAGCAATAATGCATAGGTCTTCGGTGTTCATTAAAATCAAAGTCAGATTTCGCAGCAAAGTTCACATAGCGAATAATGTTATTTGGTATATTTAACACATTAAATATAATATTCATTAGACCGGTTGTGACTATTTTCTATGATATATATTCATCATGCTCGCAATATGTCACCATTCCTGTGATAACCGCGATCTATAGCTCTATCAGGAGGACAGGAATTAAAGTGCTAAATACGCCAATAAATCAATTTTACAATGGAACGAAAGCACCATTGTTTGATATCATGACAGGTAAGGCTGTTTATTATTTCAATCCATTGTTCTCTATATGCAACCTCTTGTCAAAGCAGTCGCCCAACATTTTTCAACACGCGTAGGTGATTAAATGGAATTTTACAATGCGTCGTATTTTATGGAGTGACATTATGAAGTTAACGTGACGTGACGTTACGAAGTTGATATGATTTTACCGTTACTAAGTTAATGCAATGTTACAAAGCTAATGTAGCATTCTAAAGTTGACATTATGAAATGAACGTAACGTAACGTTATGAAGTCGCCTTGACATCACATGAAATTAACGTTTTGGAGTAACATATAAAGTTGACACAGCTTTTTAAAGTTAACGTGACATAATGAAGTTAACGTGACTTTATCCAGTGGCGTATGACGTTACGACGTTATGAGGTTAACGTGGCGTTATGACGTTATGAGGTTAACGTGGCGCTTTGACGTTATGAGGTTATGAAGTTAACGTGACGTTATGAAGTAAACGTGGCGTTATGATGTTATGAAATAACGTGACGTTATGACGTTATGAAGTTAACGTGGTGTTATGACGTTATGAAGTTAACGCCAATTAGACAGAATGGGACAGTCATGTCCTGTTTCCTATCATAAAACTTCCATATGAAACTCTAGGTGAGTGAATGATAGAAATGACACCTGGAGTAGACAGAATGGCACAATGTTAAATTATAAGCGTCAACCTGTCAGTCAGTGAGGAATATGAACAGGTTTGGATGACAGCTCCGATACGGAGACACTTGAATCATGAAGGGACAAGGGGAGTAGAGGGTGTATTTAATGAAAATTATAGTGGTGTCTGTTTTTTAAGTGGAAAGCTCAGGGGCATATTGGTTACTGCAGGTCTGTATGTCGGTTAGGTGACATTATGACCAGCCAAACTGATCGTTTTACGTTCGTTATTCCCTAACCTTCCAACACCCCCCCCCCCCCCCGAATAATTACTTAGATAATTGTACTGTTAGAGGGGATTTTTAACTCTCCCTCCCAGCTGCCGCACATTGCCCTTGAACCCTTAATTATCATAATGAGATCTATATTAATTAATGAATGTTAATGATGTAATTATAGCATATCAAATGAAAGTCTGTTATTTAGTTTGGCTGATGATAGTCTTTTGAATTTCTGACTATTATGAATATTAGAAAACAGAATTAAAAACTGTATAATTTTAGATTTATAAATATGATTTTTAAATTAGTAAGATTTGTCATTTTGAATAATCTCAAGCTGTTGTCATGATTCAGATCAAAATCCACAATCGATTTCCAACTGTCGAGGTATGTTTAATGACTAGATGCTTTTTCCATGTCAAGCTCACCGACCTGCATCACTCGATCCGTAATAATTATGTCATCAGAAAAAATGTGTAACGAGAGTGTAATAAACTGGAAAATCTAACCAGATCTCAGTCAATATCAAACCAGAACAAACTATATAACATGTGAATTCTGTCAGACTTTACACATTAATATTCTGTTTAATATAGAATTCTATCGACATGGAGCTACATTCAGAATTACCTGTTCCATGGAGATAGTAAATTATTACACGATAGCATCGAGCAACCATTACATAAAGTAAAACTAGCTAGCAGATTGTGACACGATAGCAATGAGCGACCATTACTTACTGACAACAAGCTAGCAGATTGTGACACAATAAGAGCAATTCTGCCAACCCAACAACCCAACACGAAAGCAGTGAGTGACCATGATCCAAACTAGATATAAGAGTGTGACACGAGAACAGTGAGCCACCATTACATACAGTCCAACTAGTAGGTTGTGGCACGATAGCGATGAGCCACCATTACATACAGTCCAACTAGTAGGTTGTGACACGATATCGATGAGCTACCATTACTTACTGTCCAACTAGCTAGAAGATTGTGACACGATAGCGATGAGCTACAATTACTTACTGTCCAACTAGCTAGAAGATTGTGACACGATAGTGCGGAGCTACCATAACATACAGTCCAACTAGTAGATTGTGACACGATAGCAGTGAGCGTCTATTACTTACTGTCCTACTCGCTAGCAGTGAGTCACCATTGATCTATCGTGTCTAACTAGCTATTGAGATTATGATACGATAGCATCGAGCCACTTTTTCATACTGTCTTACTAACTAGCAGTACGATGGCATTGAACCATTAAAACTACCTAACTAGCTAGAAGATTGTGACACGATAGTAGTGAGTCATAATAGCTAGCAGGATGTGACACGATAGCAACGAGCTACCATTACATACTGTCCTACTAGCTAGCAGATTATATGACACAATAGCAGTGAGTGACCATTAATCTAAACTAGTTAGTGAACACGATGGCAGTGAGCAGTTTGATCAAAACGATCACACAGTCAATACCATCTGTACACCACGACCATATCTATCTCTAACATGGTCGCTTACTTCTACAGAGAAATCTACCTGTAACAATGGCAGTCTCTGTAACTAAAATGTATTGAATTTCAGAATCATATCTTGCAATGCAACATGACAAAATCAATGCCTTTCTTCAGCAATAATTTTATCTTTCTTCTTATTTCCAGAACTCAAGGTAGGCAATCCGATTATATTCTTTGGGACGTCATTCGTCGGCAATTTCTTTTCTGCATTGAGTTTTCTTCTCGGAAGTTTTCTTTCAATTCCGGCATAATATAGGTCGAAATACTTTCTTTGGACCTTTCAACCTGGTTTGCCCGAATCTGTGATGAAGGTAAGGCTGACATTGAAGGAAGAGCCTAATTTTGCGGATGGGACAATAAATCGAGCAGTCTCGTCATTAGGGTGAGGTCCGTGGGAGCTGGGCCCACCAAGTGAGAAAGCCCAAGCAAAACCTTTTTCAGTTCAGCAGACATTGATTCATTTACAGTATCTTTGTACAAAATCAAAAAGATATAGATTTTATGATACGTTTTGGAACCACAAAATTGTTAGAAATGAGATCTCTGGGCCTTTAATTCATAAAAAAAATTCCTGGCGATGGGACTGAAATCGAGGCCCCGTTTGTCGCCGCTATCGCATGGTATTGCCCATCTTCATCAGCCCAATTGGGTGCAGAAAAATAGGACGTAAATAATAATGAGATCGACCATGTCGGGTATAAAGTGGTCTAATCGGTTAAAATAAATAATAAATGGTTAAGAAAATCGTGTATTATATTGACTACCTCTGTCCCTTTTGAATTTTCTCAAATCTCATCTATTTTTGATAAACTTTCTTTCAATAATCATTAACTCCATCTTGTATCATGATTCCATTTAACGCCTGACATTATAACAATAGCTTTCATAAGAACGAAATCCCCATGGTATATGGTAACTACAGGGTGGTTTGGCGCTACATGAAACAAGTACGTAGCTGTGAAAACTGAAAGTCCGAGGTGAACGGGCCACTTTTCTGAGTATGGGCAGTTGCTCAACTAAATGAGTGTGGGCATATGAACTTAAAGATGGGTTTCCTTTTTTTTTTTAGTTTCAAGCAAACTATTTGATTAATTGCTGTTTCTTATGAATTACCATGTAATCTTAATCATATCATTATGTTCTTATTGCATATAATTAAGAGTTTTAACCAATTATTAATGTCCATGTATGTACAGTCTGGATATTTTTCTTGGCATATGTTCTCTTGCATTTTTTCTGGGGGTGGGGCCCCCTTGGAAGTGAGATTCCGTGGTAAGCTGTGGATTCTGTGGTAAGCCACTGAATATGAGCTAATTGAGTCTTCTTAAGTTCATAAAAGGAACAGCTGGATTTCTGCGTCTTTTGCGACGGCACCAGTTAGCGTTAAAGGGATTGTAAATCGGTTTTCTTAACTTTTTATATGTATTGGGGTCAATTAAAGCACGTCTGTAGTTCCCGCAATTCCAATAGAACCATTATTAGACTCCAGTATCGCAAAAGTCGCTTATAATATCTTTGCGATAGTAACGTTGAGATAACCTCTTTTCAACCCCTTTATTAAAGACTGGCCTACGTATATTGTTGTTCCAAACTGCCAATTTATCTCTGATCTTCCAAACTGTTTCTATCCCTGGAAAGTCTGTGTAAGTCTCAAAGATCAATGTGCAATTAATAAATGACAGTGCTTTAAGAGTGCGTGGGAAATGGAATGAAATGGAGTTCTACATCCTACGATAATAAGTGAGTTGTTAAAGCATAAAACTACTGTTATACAAGATGGGCCTTAATATGTATTGTGCACCTGAAAGGGTGTAAAAAAAAATGGCGTCCGGTTTGTTTTTACGCAACGTAGAGTCGCTAGGTGGCGCTCAACTGGAAAGAGGTGGCCATTTCTTAAATATTCTAAATAGAATTTTCAGTTGTATGCTGTTTGTCTAAGAATATCTTGTGAAAAAATCATATTGCCCCTTTAAGTAATCTAACTCAAATTCTAATTAAAATATTAAAAAAAGTTTATTCTTAAACCTGTTTTTTCATTAAAAATGTAGTTTTATATTACTGATCATGTAGTATGTCATAACGAATCAAAACGACTACCAGTTTCTGTAAATAGTACAACAACCAACACCCGGAATGGACGTAACTAAGGTGTTTTTTGTACCAGCCAAAGTTTTGGGCGAGCTCTTCAAAAGGATACCGCCTCTACCGTAGATTTCAAATGAGCTATATATATATAGATGATGTCAAATTTTCATTTTTTAAAGTTAAATTCGGCCTGTAAGCTGTTACGGTAATTCCCTGCAGCACCTGAAAGAGTGGTCCAATTTTCTTACCCAAAGTGTCCATTAGCCCCCAGATTGTCCACTATGTTTTTATTGACCCAGCATTGCTGTGAGCTTATATTAAGTATAGGCGTTCTCATTATGGAATTGTGAATACAATTAATATATAAATATATTTTTATGTATATCCATTATATATCCGTTCATCAATAAAAATATCATTAATAATAATAGTGTAAATTGTCAAAACGTTATTTTATGTTCCATTGGCTGCTTACGTTAAAAAAAAACCTTAACTGGGGAAAATGATGAGGTCTTACATTTCTGTAGCTTCGTATGATTTAATAACTCCAATGGTTGTTGGAAGATGATTGATTCAGTAACTAATGTATATTAACTGTTCTGTAAACCTATTGGAGTGGGAAGATGACTCTGTAACTTGTTGATAGAATGACAGTTTGAGTAACAAGGTTGTACAACTGGTTTATTTACAGAATTTAAGTTTAAAAAGAAATAAACTCTCTAAAACCAGATGAAGCTATTGCTAGATATGGATAAGCAAGAAGATAGCGGAGATTGTGATGGGGTGGGTGGAGCCATGGATATAATGGGGATGTACGGACACTCGGCCACCATCCATGGTGTCTCGAAAGTCGCCGATCCCCAGATTTATAGATTCAGAAGGTAAGGCTATTTTAAATAGATAGAGTTCTAGAAGGGTGGGACAGGAAGGTGGGGTGGGAGATGGATGGGGGAGGGGGTGCATTAATTGTGGTCAGTTTAAAGACAGTTTAAAAAATGGTTTCAAGCTTGTTTGTATATTACAGAAAATTGCAGCATCTATTTGATTTGACTTTTTTTGTTTTTCTAATGAAAATCTTTAAAGATGAGTGACCGGCCAAGAAAGGTTAAAAAGTATCTTTTTTGTTTATCCAGACTGTGACGACTTTTGAGAGTGTACTAAGTATGTGTACAATAGGAATTATAATAAGAATATTTTTGATTGTTTTCAGATGGGTGTGGTCTATTCTACTAATCAGCATGGCTGTCGGACTTGCTGTTGTTCTTTACATGCAGTTCACCAGATTTTTTGAGTATCCTACAGTGACAATGGTGAATGCCGAGTTTCATGACGAACTACGATTTCCAGCGATAACAATCTGCAATATTAATCAATACGACAGAGTTAGACTGCCTTTCGCCGAGGATTTACGAACTCTACTGTATAATTTAAGTGAATTCTCTGACTTACAAGGGTACCTAGAACATATTGACCAGCGGAATTATCATTATTCATCTCCTATGTCTCCTGTGGATCCAGGAACCTATTTGTACGACTCTGTGATGTACGCCGCGCCGTTACTAGAAGAGTTATTCCTCCTGTGTATGTGGAAGGGAAAGAAACTGGATTGTCAGGATGTGATGGAGAGAGTGATCACTGATGTCGGCGTTTGTTATCGGTTCAACGGTAATATTTCCGATCCTTATATAGCTGGTGATACGGGTCCTAATCATGGACTCCGAGTTTTATTGGACATTAAACAGAATAACTCGTTTTTCTCGTCAACTTCACAATCTGGGGTTAAGGTAAGATAGTCCAAATTATTTATTATTGATATCACCGGGATACACCGACAAATGCCTATAGAATATATATACAAGAAACGAAACACTTCTCTATATAGGGACAAGGGGTACAAATAGGGGTGGTTAATGCCACTACCACCCCACCACCACCTGTACCACCACAGTAACTATCTCTGCTAATTTGTATCAAAATCGTAATGGTTTTTCAGATTCTAGTAAACGAGCCAGATGAAGCTCCTATTTTAGATAATGCTGGATGGTTTGTGAGACCAGGTACTTCGTCTAATATTGGCATCAGGAAAGAGGAGGTGGGTAGTTATTTTTTCCTCTGACCATAGAAAACTCGACATCTTTTCAGAGAGTTCACATAGATGATAGTATTTATTTTATTTGGTATTTAGGTTTGCCTTCTTATCATCTCTTTCTACACAGCTAATATTGTAATGGATATTTAGGTTTATCAACTCGCCACCCCTTTCAGAGAGTCCACATGGCTTGTTGTGTATAAGCTTATGGGTATGGGTATAGAGTCTGAGCATATATGATGTTTATTCTCTATTTTTACTCTTGTAGTTTATTGGTTTAAAGAAGCCCTATAAGTCATTCGGTACGTCCTACTGTTTAGACACCCAACAAGACGGGTTCAAAACTCCTCTAAGTAGATATCCTGACTACTCCTATACGAGATCGACATGTAGGAAAGAATGTTTATTGAAATATTTCGGCGAGAAATGTAACTGTCGACACTTTTTCGTGCCAGGTAAGCGACGCCTTTTCACTTCCCAGTAGTCCTGGTGAGCAAACCAGATGATCAAGATGGTTTTTATGTTGACTTTTGTTGGTAGTATATGATAGATTTACTAGGGTGAAGTAAGGAAGAACGTGGTACACAATTGCATTTCATCTTCATGATATGAAATGATAAGGTAGACTTGAAATGTATTTTTTTTACAAATTCACTAGAATAGTGAATAGAAACTAATACAAAATCTTTACTTGTTTGTAAACTTGTATATATTTCAGGGCCCGAGCGGTATTGTTCTATTTATGAATTTAATGAATGTTTACTTCCCGCTATGAGAGGTCTGTTTTTTTCTCCTTTTTTTTTCTTTACAGTGGCAGCGCCAGCCTTCCGAGACTGGGGTTACATATAGGGGACAGACTGATTCTATGGGGGAACAACTGCTGAGACTGAATTTAAATGTGGCTACTCTGTGCTACTCCTGTACTCCCGCCACTGTTTCTTTTGCATGTGTTTTTTTCGGATAATGAATTTCTATTGAGTATGCTCACTCTTGTAGAACACCTGGTGCCACTCTGTTAAATTATTTGTCAATTCGACATTTTTTTGAGTGACATATAGCTGAACACGGCATTATGTAGATTTAGATGTCAAAATCTAATTATTTAATGTAGACAAAGATGTCTCGATATGCAAATATGAAAACAAATTCTACTTGTCAATCGTCAGTAGGAACGCAAACTGAAATAGGTCAGTTTGTCTGAAGATTTTAGAGCGTGAAACTCCCAGTAAGAAGCTGTTTCAGGTACTGTTTTAATATTTCTAGATAGTGAAATAGGTAAAATGATGGAGAGCTGTAAAGGTTGTCCAAGTACATGCCAAACAGTAGGCTACATACCCAATCTTTCATCAGCAGACTTCGCCTCTAGTTTTATCATTGACTACATGGTGACTTCTGGGCTACTGAAAGACTCGCAGTATATGAGGTAAGTCAAAGAAATGGAGTTTTATGTCCTCTGCGCGGTTTCACAAAACATTTTACGATCAATGTTTGTTGTAAGTGTGTTAAGCATGTAATAGTTATGTAGCAATTTTTATTCTTGGACCAGCTTTCTGTTTTTGTGTATGTGGCCAATTCCCATGTTATTTGATTTTTCAGTAATAACGTGGTTGATTTGAGAATATATTTTGACTCTCTGACAGTGACACAGATTCAACAAAAACCGGAACTGACAATTCAGGGTATCCTTGGTAAGATTTCTTTATTTCTGTTAATGATGCTACAGACTACAAACTTTATAACGTTATAAAATGGAGTTGCCTCCCTTTGATAAGTTATATAGATTTTTCACGCTGTGCTGCGCTGTTTAGTTTTCTCTTGGCGCTGTCACGTACTCGAAGCGTAAACAAAGTGCCTCTTGATACGTTATGACTGACCGTTCCGTTATCATCCATTATTTTTGTCTTTCAGCCGATTTAGGAGGATTGATGGGAATGTTCCTGGGAGCGAGTATTCTCTCCATAACGGAACTAGTAGAGTTCCTGGCGCTCGTTTGTCTAGCTGGTCGGAACAGAAGAAAGGTTTCTGACAACCGCACAAAAACTAATAGTCGGAACGAAACGGAGATGGAACGTAAAAATGTTGACGATGTAAAATTCTAAGATATGAACAACTTGTAGTTGGTCCTTGACCCAAACTTTTGACAGTCGCACGTTATACCAATCGGTCCTTGTCTTGGATACAAAGATAGAAGAATAAGTTCTCAAGGATCCTGTCTACCAGCTTGTCCTCGGCCAAACCTCTTTGTAGTGATTTTACAAGAATCTATTTTCAAGAATACGAACTACTATGTACCAGCTGAGCCTCGACCAAACCACTGGGTAACGTTTTTACAAGGATGTTAATAATTTTACAAGCATATACAAGTATAAAATCTTGAGGATCCAGCCTACCAGCTTTTCTCTGGCAAAACCTCTTGGTTGTGATTTTTCAATAATGCACAACTCTGTGAACCAGCTGAGCCTCAACCAAAACACGATAAGATCGTAGATTCTAAAGGATCATGTCTAGCAGCTTTTCCCTGGCCAAACCTGTTGGCTGTGATTTTTCAAGAATATGAACTCTGGAAAATCCTAATTACCAGTTAATCCTCGACAAATCCTCGAGTGATTCTCCTCAAATCATCAATGTTTGGGTTGATCGAAAGTGGGCCAAATGTTGAAAGAGACATAAAAATATTATAATTATTATTTATTCTCTAGTCCGAAACACCTGCCTCTATTCCAGCCCCAGAGAACTATTTTCACTGTCAAAATATCCACCAAAGGTTGGAATATAGGCAGATGTTTTGGTCTTTTGAAACTCACGAGAGCTATGTCCATTTTTGGATGATCAGATCATTTTAATCTGTATTTTTTTTCTGCAATAATTGGAAGACCCTTTGAAGACCGGGAAGGTTAATTTATCCACACTTGTATTTTACGGCATTTTAAGTATATTTCGTCGTCATTTTTAATTTTAAGAAAACCTTAACAACAGCTCAGCCTCACAAGGTTTAGCCCTTGAGTAAATTTTTAAATGTTTTATATATCATTTATTTTCTTGTTTTTAAGTTAACCATTGTATTGATGTAAATAGTATCAAATAAATCATTTTTCACGAAAAATCTTCCCGAACACCCAATACCACTCGGCAAACAATCTTGTTCTTCCAAAATATAAAATTTATTTTTCAAAACAATTCATAACATGATGAGAGATGGACACGTAGGCCTATTACAGAAATTGCTAAAGGAGATATTTACAGTGCACTAGCCTACTAGCCTGCATATAAAACATATAGCCTTTGGGGGTCAGTATAATAATAGGGGGGACCTCTTCAGAAATGGGGAACGGGGAAGCTAAGAATTATCTGCCAAAAATCAGATAAGGACTGAGAAGTACTGTGAAGAAGAATCTACTATGTTGGCTTAGGCTAAGGAGGCATTTCATATTACTGATGCCAAAGGAAATACGTCTAGGTAGGTCTACGGGAAAGATACTTGACCGTACGGAAATTATCGCCTTGGAATACTGTGAAGATATTAGAGTCAGAGGTTTCACCGCTGCGTGCGTATCACCACTCGGGGAGTCTTGCTTCATCTCCAACCAACTCAAATTGAATCTGACTGATAGACTGACGCTGGTTGTTGCTAGGTGTGACGTCAGACTCTCGTCTGGTACCATTTCGCGCGTAATCGTCGCCTGATCGTCTATCGTCTGATCCAACAGAATTACTATGCTCTCGTTGCTGCAAGTTAATGAACGATTCCCTGCGTAAGTCGCCACCCAAGGGTAGACCTGATGGTTGATTGCGTTGTAGACCATCTGAAGGCGTCAATGGGTGTCGACGGCATGCTTCCCATACTTCCACTAAAGAACCGCGTCTGGATCCCTCTCCGGATACCAGCAATGAATTCCTACGAGCACCATCTAATGAAGCTAGTGAGCCACGTCGTGAACCGGGAGCTGTTAATAATGATTGCCGACGGTCGGAACAGTGGGATGTTTTGTCAGTAACGTTTACGTCGACTTGGCTGATAGAAATTCTAGGATTGCTGTCGATGTCGATGGAATGGCGATGATTTTCATCCAGTCGGACAGTTTCAACTCGACCAGACGCTGTAAACCGATGAAACTCAAGGATCTTTTGGCGGATGTCGTCAGGTAACTCGGAATCATCGTTTGCTACAAAAGAGGTTGTCTGTTCCTGAGTAGAAGACTGGCGTAGAAGACGTAATTTGTTGTCAGGACAACAACACGTGGGAACAAATTCATCCAATCGGAGAAGTAATCCACAACGACGACATTTCTCCACAGAAAGTGTTACAGCTATTCTAGTTACTGAAACAGAATTCATTTTAAAGGTGAATATCTTCATTATGCCACTTAAAGTTCTTACATATTTATAGCTGAGGTAATTAATATTCATGAGATCAGGTTATTTTCAAACCGACCAGTCAACACGATACTACATACGATTTGTTTTGTAATTGTGTACATATATAGGAGAAGTCTTTGAATGGCATTTAGCAATTGTGAGTACGATATATAGACACAGCTTTATGGAACAACAATCACTGGTTAAAGTTTTATGCAACGCTTCGACGTGTTTCCCCCGTCGTCCACGTTGCATAAAACTTTAACCAGTGATGGTTGTTCCATAAAGCTGTGTCTATATATATATAGGAGACTTACGATCTGATAAAGCCTCTCTCTGATCATCAATATCAATCGACCTTGACCCCAATAAACACGTCACTTCCCCTGTTTCAATTTTCTTTTCTACTCGGTATTTCGCTTTTCTTGAAGCCTATAAAAACCAAAACTTTTATTCAATATCTGAATATAGTAGGTCTAACTCTAATGCTAGGCATGTATGAATATCCCAAAATATTCATTTTAATAACGTGTGACGGGAAGGCGAAAACGGTTACCAACGACTTACCCTGTAAACTAGACTAAAGTAGTAAAAGAAGTGTGGCGGGAAGGCGGAATCGGTTACCAACGATTTACTTTTTAAGCCGAACTAGCTAGAAGTGTGACGGGTAGACAGGACTGGATTCCAACAACTTACCCTGTATACAAGACTAGCTAGAAGTGTGACGGGTAGACAGGACTGGATTCCAACAACTTACCATGTAAACTAGACTAGCTAGAAGTGTGACAGTAAGACAGGATACCAACTACTTACCCTGTATACTAGACTAGCTAGAAGTGTGACGAGAAGACAGGATACCAACAACTTACCCTGTTAACTAGACTAACTAGAAGTGTAACGAGAAGTCAGGATACCAACAACTTACCCTGTTAACTAGACTAACTAGAAGTGTAACGAGAAGTCAGGATACCAACAACTTACCCTGTAAACTAGACTAGCTAGAAGTGTAACGAGAAGACAGGATACCAACAACTTACCCTGTTAACTAGACTAACTAGAAGTGTAACGAGAAGACAGGATACCAACAACTTACCCTGTTAACTAGACTAACTAGAAGTGTAACGAGAAGTCAGGATACCAACAACTTACCCTGTTAACTAGACTAACTAGAAGTGTAACGAGAAGACAGGATACCAACAACTTACCCTGTTAACTAGACTAACTAGAAGTGTAACGAGAAGTCAGGATACCAACAACTTACCCTGTAAACTAGACTAGCTAGAAGTGTGACGGGAAGGTAGGGTAGGATACCAACAACTTACCCTGTATACTAGACTAGCTAGAAGTGTGACGGGAAGGTAGGGTAGGATACCAACAACTTACCCTGTATACTAGACTAGCTAGAAGTGTGACGGGTAGACAGGGAAGGATACCAACGACTACATTCCAGTTGAATATTGGATTAAACATCTCTCCACTCGTCACACCCAATCTACCACCAATACACGTCATATCCTGTCCAAATACCGCTCTGCACCATCTCTCTATCGTAGGTCCTATATCTAACTGAAATGAATGAATAAATGAATGAATAGATAATATTAAGTCGATTAATAATTCTTGTTTCTGAGATACTGGAGAACCTGTCCCTTTAAGCTATAGGCATAGCTCATATTTATTATAAAAGTATAATAATTGTTCACGATATCAACTCAGATATCGAGGGTAAAATATAAAAGATATTTTGGACAATAAACAATCTTATTTTGTTTACTTCGTTTCCATACAAACGACCTAAAAATACCATTCACAACAAAAACTAGCTTATATAAACCTGTACAAACGACTTAAAGTAAAGGGAATTGTATAGAGGCGTTCTAAATTGTGTATGGGTTTGCACCATTCCAATTTGCAGTCAGACGTTATTCCACTAAACATTTTGTGACGTCACTATCGCAAATCCTACTTATAAAAGGACTTTGCGATAGTGTCGTCATACCACATTTATTTTAAGTAGAATTGCAATAACCAAAGACGTCTGATTGAAAATTGGAATGGTATCAATCGATGATCAGTTCTCTGGTAAACACAAAAAGTTTGGAAAATCTCTGTAGTATCACTTTAAGTGCAAATTCTAAAACCACCAAGCCACTGAGAGCTTGGGTTAGATTTCAGGGTCGGGCTCATCTATAATTGCCGACACGGTTACACAACATCACCCTATTCAGCTATATTTCAAATTGCACATGACCTTCACATTGATACATTACTAGCATTAATAACGTCACGTTCACAGCGAAACTTTTTACCTTCATAACAGTCCTTCTCAAATCAAGGAACATCTTCACAATGTTAAGGTATTACGAAGTTTGTCTTGTATAATAGATGAAGTTTATAATACATGTGAAGATGACAAATTATGGTGAAGATTCTCGCCTTAATCCCATCAGAAAAAAAATCCAATTCATCTGTTCAATTTTAAATAAATTGAAATTAGATCGTATCTTTTTAGTTTTCTAATGTTTTAGTCTCCATTGTAAAAACAGATTTTTCTACCAAAGACCCGTCCGAAAGTTAGTATTTTGAACCAACCAAAGTGTATCATGTTGAACCCGTTTCTTGATAAAATAAGGAATTGTGGGATATCGCAACCTCAATTATATTGAATTGTGGGATACCAAAAATTCTTTGATATCCCACAATTCATTATTTCAGAAAAATATATCAGAAAACATAAAAAAAAAAATACGAAAATGTAATTTAATATTTATTAGAATGGTGCAAACACTTTCGAGCCTTCGATATAGCTACATCCTGTAAGCAGATGTCGATCAGTTAAAGTCAGAAAACCAGAAATCTAACATACCTCTATTGCAAACTTTCGACTGTGTTTTTCATCTTTTTTAATTATATATAGATAATCTATCAGTGACGTCATACTAGGCGCGGATGGCTTTATAAACGCCAAAAAATGTACTGAAAATTTTAAGAATCGTAGCAATCAATACGAGTTTAGAGCATAGTAGGATCACACGAGTGCCACCTGCGCAAAATTGTCTCGGTGTTCCACTTAGTATTAAACAATTTGCAATTTAGATTAGCATTAGGACATAACAAATGGCTTTTGCGAGGCCTTAAGTATTTTACAGAATACATTTTGTCTGTCAAGGGAGATAACTCTCACTAAATATTACACGTGTTGATTTTGAAAGTAGGTCAATGAAAAATATGAAAGCCATACAAAAATACCAGGAAGAAATGTAATATTATTCTTCCTCAAAATAAAATAGACTGCACTTTCCCGTGTTTAGAAATATCAATGCACGTGCATTAATATCTTTGCCCCAGTTTAAAAACAATGCAACACTTACAATTGGAGTCGTCTCCCTTGAGTTTTGTCTGATTCAGTGTGAAAGACAACATGGTGGCTCTGGTGCTCAATAAATTGATAATCTTTTCCAGAAACTCATCTGACTCTCCTTTTATAGTCCTGAAATGAAAGAAGATTTGGTTTATATGAGAACTCTCATCCCAGAAAAAAATGCAGGAGTGCATATCATGCCCAAACCCATTTTAGATCACGGGCCCCATTCATCGATTTTTCTCCCTTCTGAATTGCCTATATATCACGTGATGAACAGTCACGTGGAAACCAAGGAACCAAGGGGCATCCGTCTCGTCTCCTACGCTATGTCCAAGTAGTCTATCGAATACTTACCAAGTCTCGGTTAGTTTGTCCATCATGCCCAGATTTGAGGGATATATCACATTATTATCCACGAAGACGTTGATCAAATTTTCATCGTGAGTTATCGTTCTTGTCTGCAGCTGGAAGGCGTCGCAGATGGAGGTGGGCGTGGATATAAACAAGTCCAATGGAACCAAGACGAGGCCGAGGTCGTCGTTCACTTCAAAAGTCGCCATTATACTTGTGACGTCATTTGATGACATCACACTCTGCTCTACTTGTATCATTTGTGCCATTTTTTCAATTTCTGAAAAAATATATTTGATTACTTATAAAATAAAGGTATAAAACCAAAACCTGTAGAAAATATTTTTTCATCAGTTTGAAATATCTTCGTTGTTTAAAGTTTATGTGTTTTCATCTCATAGTTTAGCTAAATTTTGAAAATGACGTGTTTACTGACGTACTGACGTGTGACGGAGACCTTACTCCAAGAATCAACAAATTCAAAATTTTACATAAATAAAAAACACCGTCCTTACCTCTTTATCGGATCGAAAAGAAGTCAAATAAACCAAGTATTGTTGAGGACAATCCTCAGACTCATACAAGTCGATTTTAGAGAGAACTTTAGTAATAGTTTCGTATTTAAAGTGGTTTACATCCGTAATGAAGCCTATTTCATTGTCAAAATATCCGGACTAGGGTTACCACTGATGTTATTAAAGTTTTCGTTTGAAATTATCGAGAGATCTAAACCGGATTTCGAAATTTGGTTCATTGCTTGAAAATAGGAAAACACTAAGTTTTCGATACAAAATTGGCATATCAGGGACATACATATGAAATTACATTCATTCATTCATTTAATCGTTCGTTCGTTTATTCGGTCATTCATTCATTTACTAATTCATTCATTCACTCATTCATTCAATCGTTCCTTTGTTCGTATTATGTCAGAGAACTAACTTTTTTTCAGATTGCCGACAATCCCTACTTCATTACATTTGAGATAAAAACGGTGTTTTGTATTTCTCTTTTGAAGCTAAAAGTTATTAATATTAGTCACAAAAATAAAAATATTTATCAGAAACGTTGGCAATCGTCATGACCTTACCCGATAATCGAGTGACCTCAAATGGGTCAATCCTTCAGTCAGATACTAAAATATAAAATCTTAGTTTCATTATAAAATCTTAGTTTCATTATAATTTCATTATAAAATCTTAGTTTCATTATAATTTCATTATAAAATCTTAATTTCATTATAAAATCTTAATTTCATTATAAAATCTTAATTTCGATTAAAAATATTCCTCTATATTCGTAATATTATGATAACCCTAACAAATTATATCTGAACCAGTGCTTTCTGTTGAAAAGCTACGTGTTAATCTTTAATTACCAGTGAATTCGAATCCTCCTTAAGGTAAGGAAATTCTGCTTTCTATGCCGGTGCTTCCGAGACTGTGCCCGGTGTCGGTTCTCACCAACAAATTCCCAATCACTGTGAAAGCTCGGTTGGAAGCGAGTTGGATCGCCATCTCGGCGACTAAACGCCGATGGTTCGAATCCTCTTTGAGGTAAGAAATTTCGACATACGAAAAATATCATAATGGCCCTTTAACCCTTACCAATATACTTAAGTAGCTTTGTAATAACCTAGTCACTGAAACACTGTATCTGTTAAGCATTACTTTAATCCCGTACCAGTGATCACAGTTATATGTATTCTCGTTTACATCCTAAAACTTTCCTTGGTTTGTGCTTCCGTAATTCCAATCGATTATTGTGTTCAGAACCATGTACGTAACACAAAATACTCAAATTCGAGTACTGTCCTTTTCTAATAAAAAAATATGAACACGAAATTCTTGGCGAAAAATATTTCTAGAACAAGTGTAAAACTGGGTCATAAACAAAAATAATGTTTATAAAGACACTCTTGGTTGACTAATTAGTAACATAGAGCCGTTGTTCATAAAGATTTTGGTTAAGATATAATTTGGCGCAATTTTCCCCGGAACAATTATGTGTATATACCAAGACAATGTCAAACTATTACAAACTTCTGTCTTATACCTTGACTATTATACCCACCTTATTGTAGATTGTAAATGCAGAAATTTAGTTGTACTGTACTTTAGCGAATAGGCCTTCAGCCAATCAGGGTCCTTGACTGAATGTCTGTAAATAATAAGCCATAATGTCTTTCTGTCGAGAGCTCTGATTGGATGTATTCTGAGGCGAACAGTCGAATCAAATCAATTCCTTGATTCAAGAAAGGGTGGGGGTGGGGGCTATGAATTGTAGCCAAGGTATAAGACGAATTTTGTAAATGCTTTAAATTATAATATAAAGGACCACTTCAAAAACACACAATATATATACATGTCGCCTACTTCTTAGGCGCCCCTTTTTAGGTTTTTCAAATAAGTGGTAGGGTACGGGTCTAAAAGTTGGAGTTGATGGCTTTTTACTACAGTTATATGTAAATAATAACTACTCACATTTTTCTCTTTCATTCATTCAACTACCATATCTTAACTATGCACGGTTGGTTAGTTTCAGAGTACATATGACCACTTCACTATTCATACAAATTGGGGTATCTTAGCGTTTGATGAGGTCACAAGTACACAGACAAGTTTTGGGTAGGCCCTATCAGTTATATCAAAACTAGGCTGTCCTGACGAGGATTGTGTATTTGAAACTCCTGTCAGCAAAATGAAATGAGATCTAGTCAATTACACGGTTGAGTTTTGAGTATTCATTTTGTTGGTTCTGCTGTTGATAGTTAGAAATTAAATGTAGTCTGATATCAGCTGAATTGTTACTTCCTCTGATGATAAATTAATTGTGTTCTGATATCAACTTTATTTCCCCTGATGATAAATTAATTGTGTTCTGATATCAACTTTACTTCCCCTGATGATAAATTAGTTGTGTTCTGATATCAATTGCATTACTTCCCCTGATCCTACTGTTTGTTTATAGAGGGCGTAATTTGATGTCATGTGACTTTATTGTTTGTCTTCAGAGTGCATGGTTTCATTATACAACTGCCAAACTCATTTTTGACGATAAAATTCTAATTCTTGCTTTTAATTTACACCTGTAAAAGCTGTCGACCTTTCAGAAAGGTGAGTTAAGAATTCTTGCAAATTTTTATCATTGAATACGCGTAGAAGCATTCATTTTAGTGAAAATGCGTCTAATTTCCATTTGACTTTCACTGAATTGTCTGATCTATAAATAGAATAATATATTTAGGTTAAGCCTTTAATTTCGGAATTGTTATTGACTTTGATTTGAAGGTGCCTTTGTTTTAATCTCTAGCAGGAGTAGATATTTATTTCAATTTTCATTCCACTAATTTAGTTTTCATTTGACAATAACCATTACTGTTTGGATTTACCGTTGTGAAGGTTTAAGTTTTATTTGTAAGTGGCCTTTTTGCTAACATTCATTCATCCAATAGTAGCAAAGTTGTTTTTTTTTTTTTATGTAAGCTTATGCTATTTTTGCTAAAAAATAAGTGGTGTGTTTAGTTTTTCATTCAGTTTTAGAATATAACCATGAGATGCATAACGAAAAAGAGAAATTTGAGACGAAATTGATTTCTAATTGACCTTTGTACCTTTGTGTATTAACCCATCTTTCACCAGCTGTCCTGTCAATTTTAATGAGTCTTGTGACAGGACAGGGTCTAAATTTAGCTGACCTGGTTTTATTTTGTTTTGTTTAAACTCATAGTGATCAGCTGACTATGAATAAAATAGCAAAGTCTGAGTGATAATTTTGCTATTGGCACGTGAATTTAAGTTTAGTTGGAGTGTTGTTTCAATAAGGAATTGCAATTTGCAAGTACGGTAGGTTGCTCAATGTTTGAAAGCTGGTAAAAAGTTTGTATTTATTTTGTAGATAATTGGATTGTAATATATTGGTTCCTTAATTCTAAATTTTGCAATTCCTGCGAACAGTAGAAAATTCTCATTTTATTGCTTTTTTACGTGTAACATTTCTTTTTATTTATTTTTCTATATCACATAATATTAATGTAAATTTCAGTTAAAAATGGTGGTGATACGTCAAGAATTAGTGGATTCCATTAAAAAAGTTTTATTTATTCTGAGTACATGCTTACTTGTTTTTGTTGCTGCTAGGAATTCTATTACATGGTAAGATATTGATTATTACAAAAGTTCACTTGTACAGTCTTCACAATTTATTTATATTTTTATCATCTTTGGAAAAGCATCTCGATTTCCAGCCATCTCTATCTCATTTGATATTAGGGAATGAAAGCTGACTCTCGAAAGCACTGACACAGACGTCAGAATTTTTTCTGACCTTGAGGAGTATTCAAACCCCATGTAATCAGCTAGCAGATGACAATCCAACTCAATACCGACTGAGCTATTCCACTGAAACACAAAAGACAGTGTTCCAACCAAGAGTTGGAGGGAAGTTGATGCTAAAGAAGTCCTTTGTCACTTTATTGGTAGCTTTAGAAAATTTTGATTTTATTTTCAGGCATTTACAGAGATTCTGGGGTGCCTCTGGTGATTTTTGGCAGAGACAATGGGAGAATGTTTATGTATTATTTGGTTCGAGTGACGCTCTAGTGTGTATTGTTGGTAGGTACCAATCATGGACCACATGTGTCGTATCAGTTTTTTACTAAAAGACCATAACTGTGAAATAATTTCAAATTGACAAGAAAAGAACTCTTTTGATGTTTTATTAATTCAGAATGTTTGTTGGGCTTATTGCTGTGTTTCTCTAAACAGCAAACAGTTATAACTGTGATGATCCTTGTGTGAAATTTTCAAACTTGTGACTTACTGGTACTTTAACTCAGGGCTGTTGATTTGGCTCTATTTGCCGGTCATGGCAGACAGGAATGCTCAAATGACCGACGGTCAATCAAGTATAGGTTAACCATTACAAGTTAAACTTCAGCAAATTTAAGCATGGATTTGTTTGAGTGTTTGTATGAATATTTTTGTTTATTTCAGGAACATTTATTATAACAACAGGAATATTCTGGTTGGCCAACGCTTTCTTTATGATAATAGACCTGACTGGCAAACCTGTGGCTTTATTTCGCTATAAAATACAACCTGAGAAAAATAACCCAGTAAGTTAATACCTGTAGCTCTTATTAGGTTTCAAATTCAATGCAGAATACGACTTTATATCAATATAAAATACAACCTGATAGCAATAATCCTGTAAGGTTTTGATACAATTTTAGCTACCTGTAGATTAGATTGTAAATTGAATGCAGAAATGACCTAGTAAGTGTGGGCTTTAAGCATTTTCTTGCAGCTCTTAGAAATTGCAAAGACTCTTAGATATTATCAACAGCTTTTATAATAGTGATGTCCTGAGTAGTTAAACATTTCTATAATTACAGGAACCACAGGTATCAGACAGAAACTGGAATGCTGCAAATAGAAAACATAAATTGGACAAAAAAACATAAAAAAAAAAACTTCATAACCTCTTTAAGTTGTAGTCTCTCTTTTCCAGCTACCAAAAGAAGATTTATATAAAGCAGTAAAACAAGTCTTGTACAACCAGGTGGTTATCGGTATCCCGTTTATTTGTGTGGCGTATCAGGCAATGAAATGGCGTGGATGTGGGGTTGGCGGAGAATTGCCGACTTTCCATTGGGTATTATTAGAGTTATCTGTCTTTACACTGTTTGAAGAAATCGTCTTCTATTATTCCCACAGGTAGGCAATTTACATAATTTCTATCTAAGCATTAGTAGCTTCTTATTATGAAGATTTTGGGTTCAAACACCTGATGTCACTCTGCGAATGGTTTTGCCAACTCTTGAGCATTGGACGCTTGATTTCGCCTTACTATACAGGGTATGCTTAATCTGCAAGTATTTTTGCCAACTTAACATTTGAACTCGGTATTCAGTGACTCTTAACTGTTCTTTGATGATTATCTTGTGTGGGTTTCACTAGCTAGCTTGTTAAGACATTCCCCTATCATAATAACACCCTCCCTCACTACCATTCTTCCTCACTATTACCTGTCAGCTGTCGAGTCTACCATGACTTCCCTCATGAACAACACTGATAGTTTAATAGATATGAATTACAACATTTATGAATAAATTTAATTTTTATTTGTAGGTTATTACATCATCGAGCTATTTATAAATACATCCACAAACGACATCATGAATGGACTGCTTCGATTGGTCTTGTAGCTCTCTACGCCCATCCTATTGAACATATATTTAGTAATTTATTACCTCCATTTATTGGGCCATTATTAATGGGATCACATATTGCTACATCTTGGATGTGGTTCTGTATAGCCTTGATATCCACCACCGTGGCTCATTGTGGCTACCATTTCCCCTTTCTTCCATCTCCTGAGGCTCACGATTACCACCATTTAAAGTAAGTATTTGACATATTGATTTGGAAATAAATTAAAATTTGATTCAAATTATAAGATACGTAACAGTGTATAACTCTCTTTCATTTTATTAGCCCAATAAGGAACAGGACAGTAGAATTTGAAACTCCATTTCATTTCATGAGACAAAAAAGATACAGAACAGAAGGGTGAAAAACTCAAATTCATGACATTAGACAAAAAGGATACAGAACAGTAACCTGAAAAAACTCTCAATTTAATTTGATGACCTATTTCATTTTCAGATTCAACCAGAATTATGGGGTAATGGGAGTTTTAGATCGTCTACACGGCACTGACGATTTATTCCGTGAAACCAAAGCCTATCAACGCCATTTTCTACTGTTGGGAATGACCCCTGTCTCACAGCAATATCCTGATAGTCCCAAGAAAAAGGCTGAATAGATAAAAACCTGAAATAATCACGATCTGATTAGAATATTGCGGCCAGTTTAATTAAATTTGATTTGAGATAATTTCGGTGTTCCAGTCATCTGATTGGTTATCCAGTAGAATTGATTTTAAATTCATTTGTGTTAACCAATCAAATTGCTGTATTATATGAAATTTCGATTTAATTGTTGTTAACTTTTTGTGAAATAGCGCCTCGCTAGATATTTTGATGCATGATATTTTCTATTAGATATTTAAAAATTGTCGCTTAGAAAAATGAAATGAAATTGGATTGTGTATTGTAAGCAGATTGTGCTATGATGATGGATAAAGTGACAGATAAGTTATTGATAAATCAAGTTGAATTCATGAAAAGTGCTTTTGTTGTTTAAGACATTGGAGTCCAAAATATTTGGTGGGGGGCTGTGAGTTTTAGATGAATAAAAAATGTGCTTGAGACCCAAGAAATACCAATGATATTGCACGCTTCCATGCATTCCCTCTCTCCTCCTGTCTGGGTGTTGCCTATTCAAAATGCCCTCAGAGCCCCCATCTTATGCTATGTCTGTGTTGCTGTTTTTGGTCAGTGTTAAGGAGCATTAAACAGATTGCAGAGAAAAGGACCAATGATTTTAACTTGTTTTGTACAGTATATCACATGCCATCACATCAACGTTTTAATACATCTACTTAAACCAAATCAGTATATTCTGTTTTTTTTATAAGGCAGTAAGTTGTAATAACCAATCAGATTACTGTAGATCTTAACTAAATCATCTGATTGGTCAATCAACTAATCCTGCTATTAGCTTTTTTGTATCAACCAATCAGATTAGTGTATTATCTATAGATAATTTAAGTCTTCCTGAAATATTTTTTTTGAGTCTTGGTTTTGTTCTTGTAAGTTTTTGTTATAAAATGCTTAAGCTTTAAATGCACTGGTTGAGGCTTCAAAAATTAATTCATTGTCATGTTAAGAATGTTTATGATATTCTATATAAGGGCTTACATGATTTGAAAGCATTAGCCAAGGCTTCAGAAATTAGGTATCTCATATTAAGAATGTTTATGATATTCTATATTACATGCGTTGAAAGCACTGGCCATGGCTTAAAAAATGTATTGTCTGTCGTGTTAAAAATGTTTATAATATTGTATGATGTATGCCTTGAAAGCACTGGCCCAGGTATTCATATTGAACATGTTGTAAGGATGAGAACTGTTTGATATTTCAGTAAGAAATGTATAATGTTGTGTGCCCTAGTTATTTGAATGTTATATTATAGTATACTTATATAACTTATATATAACCTGTTGAATAGTTTATAGCACGTATATTATTTTCTATTTAGTTAGTCAATAAGTAGGCTTGTAGTAACATCCCTTTCAGACAAAATTTTCTCATTTTTTGAGGGTTTTAGTTTAAACGTCTTCAAAATGTTACATGATTACATCTCGGATTGCATGATTTGACTGGATTGTACACCAGTGAATAATACAACCAAAGCCCTTGTTAAAAAGGCTGTATACATTATGGTTTTGTGTTCACTGACTTTCTGTCAAAGCTTCTGATTGGCTGTATTTGCTAGCATACAATCCAATCAAATCGCTTCATTTACAAACTTCCATGATGTAAGAAAGGTGACTTTTGCAGTCAAGGTATAGTGTACAGAGTTTGTAATAGCTTGACATTGTGAGGAAGGTTTTCAATAAAGATGGCTTTCAATAAAGATGGCTTTCAATAAAGATGGCTTTCAATAAAGATGGCTTTTCTTTGGATGATAAAAATAGTAATTGAAACTATACAAGGCAGATCTATATTAATTAAATTACCGTTTAAACTACCTAAAACTTCACTCAGCTGTTGGTGTTTTTGATTTAAATTGTTACTGGATGTGTACCAATGTTTTTATTATATTATTATTCTATTATTATTCGATTATTATGCTTTGCAATGCAACATGTTTGTCCCCCTAATTTTGGTAGTCATTATTTTGGTGTGTGGTTTGTGATGTATCTTAAGTTTGACCAATATCTAATTTTTAATCAAGTCAAATCTGATTTTTATTTATTATTTATTTAGAATCTCTCTTACCCTGAAACCGAGGCATTTTCAAAAAGTAGCATTGATTAATGGACATTTTTTATAATTTTGTAGTTTTGTTAGTTTTTCTCTCTGAATTTCATCTTTATTCAAGAAATCAAAATGTCTGCCAATGTTGATTTTGTATTTTTTTACCTGTAGTCCCAGTCTGTGATATTGTCAATAAAAATTAGAAAAAAAATTATACTGTTCTTTTATTGTAGACTGGCTAACATAGAAAAATCTGAAAAAAATAGTTGTCAATGTGCTTGTCCGCCAAAATGTTTCTTTTTTCTTTGGTGAGCATGGATGCCATTGCTGTCTTCAGTGGCCGAATAATCTGCAAAAGAATGGTTCAATTCCTTCCTCATAGCATTCATTGTGGTCTAGAAATTAGCCCCCTTTTATTGGGAAATCAAGAAAATATTCCAGGCTAGTGGTCGTATTACCAAGTGCACTGTGAGGTGCTGCCAGCTTTCATTAACTCGACTAGTTGTTCGGATGGGACAATAAACAGAGGCCCCGTGTGCTACAGGCTGTGCACGTTAAAGATCCCTCGACAGTTGGAAATCGAAAAAGAGCAGGCTAATGCCGCTGTCCTGGCAAAATTTACCTTATTGCACCCTGCATGGCGTTGCCCGTCTTCATTAGCCCACATGGTGCAGAAAAGTAGGACGTAAAACTCCATTCATTTCATTTCATTTTCATTAACTCGACAATAAACACAATAATTGGGGAAAAGTTTAATTCGTGAAAATGACCTATTGAATTTATTTGTCGTCTGGAAATTACCTCACTTGACGCACTAAAGGGAGACAATTTTGGTGTTGGCTCACATTCAGAATAGTCACGATATGGGGCCTTTCGTTTTCCTAATTGATTTATATTTATCATTTATTATCATTTTTTTATTTACAAAGTGGATATTTGTGCCATAAATGAACAAAATAGCGATTTTAGAGAAAATTTCAAACAGAAGGGATTTCCCTCGTTCATATCAAAAGGTCAAGGTCAATTAAACGGATGTCAATAAACAGCGCCTCTAGTGGGAAAACACCCTTAAACCAAAATGTCAATTTTTGTGGAAATTATTTGATTGCTTTGAAATAAATCATACATTTTGAGCATGGATCGCCGTGGAAGTAATAATTATTTAGACGCTAGTAACGCCCGAGGTAAAACAGCTAGTCAGGGGTCTATTTCCATGCCAAACGAATCTCCTAGCAGCAGTTCTAAAGAAAGTGCAGGTTCACCATCCAAATCGCTGTGTTCCTCTGCGTCCACCTCATCAGAAAATGTTCCAGCCATGGAAATGAAGGTATTAGTGATTTAGATATTTGGCTTTAATATTTTACTGATAGATATATGACAAATCAACATAAATGTTTCGTACTCTGCTCAGCTTGTCCAAAGTAGCCTACCTCTTTTAGATTCAGGGGCTAGTAGCCTAAGAAGGGAGTGCCAGTGAACACAGTTTTATTTGTATTGTAGGTTATGAGAGACACAACAAAATATGGTCAATCAGATGAACCTCCACTTTTAGATGGAGAAAAAATTCAGGGAAAAGGTATGGTAGCTTGTAAGATCTTTGGACATAACAAGTCTGTCATCTATTGAGGCCCTGTGTTCTTCAAATCACTGTCAATGTTAATGATGCTGTCGAGGCAAACTTACCCAGACTGCTGACTTTGTTAGCTCAAGAAGTGAATGCCGTTAAATGTACGACTGAAAATCTTTTTATTGAACATACTTTTAATCAAAATATTGTTGTGATGGCTCTTCTTGACTTTTGTTTGTTTTCTTCAGGACAAGATGTGACATATTTGTGTCCATATCGAGGTGCTGTGAGAGGAACTTTGACTGTTACAAATTATAAACTTTATTTCAAATCGTCAGAAAGGGTAGGCAAATATTTCATTACCTCTCTACCCCCACTAGATTCAAAATGAAACAATGTGGCTTGTTTAGCTGAGGAAATTATATTTACTTAATTGATTGCTGAATGCATTGCAGTTGTCTCAACTCAAATGATTTTTGATAACCTCGCATTAAGACATGACAAATATTGATAATTTTTAGGAGCCACCCTTTGTTTTGGACGTAGCTCTGGGTGTAATTAGCCGAGTGGAGAAGATAGGTGGGGCTACAAGTAGGGGAGAAAACTCTTATGGTATTGATATTTTATGTAAGGTGAGCTGAACTGGTTTACAATTTATTTTATTGACAACACAAGCTCTGCATATCATGATGATAGCTACATTTTGAATGAAATAAAGCAGTTTATTTATACCAGAGATGAGTATAAATGGTTGACTTACATTCAGTCTAAGCACCTAAAAGATTTCAATTAAGAACTTTCAAGAATTAAAATCTCGCATCTCGTTCGCCTGCAATTCCAAAAATTGTATTGTGGCATTTCCATTCTACTCTGTTTTATTCACCAGGACATGAGAAATTTAAGATTTGCTCATAAACAAGAAAATCATTCAAGAAGACAAGTTTTTGAGAAGATTCAACAGTATGCTTTTCCTGTGTCCAATAAACTCACTCCGGTAAGTAAAGTCCAGCTTGACCATGATCTAGGATGGTTATTGGACTCGTCATTGATTTTGTCACCTTTGGTCATGTGATTTATATTTTGTGATAAAGGATTTAGCCATCCTGTTTTTTAAAGTTGTTTTTTTTGCATCATATAAAATATTTAAGTATTTTCTGACATTAATTTTGGGTGTTTGTTTAATTTGTTATTTGATTATTTTATATATTTTCCTCAGCCATTTTTTGCGTATGAATTTAAAGAGGATTATGATGGGGAAGATGGTTGGAGAGTTTATGACCCAGTGGCTGAATTTAAACGCCAGGTAACATTTAAATTTGTTTCCGTCCGGGCTTGAACTAGATATTGCCATAATATTTTTTTGGACAGATTCTTGACGATCAAAATGGCCTCATACTTAAATGAACTAGTGCAGAGACGCATAAACAATCCATTGCCCATGCACATCACAAAGGGAGCTCTCTCATTGGCTGTTAACTACGGTACGTATAAAGACGATACGTGCTGTGACGGTTCAAAAAGCCAGTGTGTTATAGATACCAAGTAATTGATTATCATTCACCAAATTTTTGCTAAAACCATTCAAGACAACTCACCACCATTTCTAGATATTGAATTGTACGATTGAGTACACAGAAATATTTAGAAATGTACATGATAATGTTTTTATTACAGAAAGTACCTAATGAAAGTTGGAGAGTGAGTAAACTAAATGAGAATTATGATTTATGTGATACCTACCCAGCAGTTGTAAGTTTCACTTTTGTAATCTTCAAGTCTTTAGTAAAAAGTTTCAGCCTCTACTACCCATTCAATATCATTGCAAAATTTATCATTATTTGTTTTGCAAACAAAGCTGCTAGTGGACTTATGTTTACTTCCTGCAATTCCATTAAAAATAAGTGTTTGATGACTATTGTTTGTCACTATTCACCAAAATATGTTTATCACATAAGGCCTTTCGTGACTAGTGACATCAGCCTGGAATTGCAGAAACCACAGATGTCTGATCAAAATTTGGAATGGTGCAAATTGATGCTATCACTAATACAACTATAAATTTAAGGAAAGCTTTTCCCAATCCCTTTAATGTTTTTGTATATATTTTGTAGTTGGGTTACCAGCTAATTGTACAGATGATGATATTTTTGTATATATTTTGTAGTTAGGTGTACCAGCTAATTGTACAGATGATATTTTGTATATATTTTGTAGTTGGGTGTACCAGCTAATTGTACAGATGATGATATAAGAAACGTAGCAGCATTCAGATCTAAAGCAAGATTTCCAGTAAGTTATTTTTTAATAATCCATTAACAGGACTGTAGGAGGCTTTGAGGAGACTCTAGATGTTCGTCAAACTTCATGAGATCGGTATAGGAAAGGAAAATCATCATAATATGTCCCCATTCATTTCTTTTCTCCATTTTGTTGAGTTGTTAACTTCTCAACAAATGTATCAGAGTGAATTGTTGAAATGTGGTTGATTAAAATACCAAAGCCAGGTACACTCTGTCAACATCTGTCAATTTACACAAGTGATATCATAAGATAAAAATGACCAAATACATAGTGGCAGTAATTGATTTGAACTTTCTAAAATTTGTGTGGTTATTTCTAGGTTCTGTCCTGGATACACCCAGAAAGTCAGGCCACCATTACCCGATGTAGTCAACCCATGGTAGGTGTAGCAGGAAAACGTAACTCTCATGATGAAAGGTATATACAGATGATCATGGACGCCAACGCTCAGTCTCACAAGTTATATATTCTTGATGCTCGACCAACAGTTAATGCTGTGGCCAATAAGGTAAATGTTTAACATAATGACCAAACTTTAACGTCCTTTCTTACAAGTTATATATTCTTGAGGCTTGACAGACAGTTAATGCTGTGGCCAATAAGGTAAACTATCTTTTTATGGTACATAATGACCCTAATAGAATGCACAGTCTCACAAGTTATATATTTTTGATGCTCCAACGGTCATAGCAGTGGCAAAAGATAAAAATTCTGTTTTTCATAATGACTTTACTAGATATCTAGTCTCTCAACAGACAGTTAATGCAGTGGACAATGAGGTAAATGCACAGATATATCTATGTTCATTGTTTAATGATTTTTGTCTGTTTTATTTTACCAGGCTAAAGGTGGAGGGTTTGAAAATGAAGATTCCTATCAGAATGCTGAATTAGTATTTTTAGATATCCACAATATACACGTCATGAGAGAGAGGTGAGGACTGCAAATATGATTTTTTTTGATGCAAAAGTGACTGTCTGTCATCTAAAGGTTTTTAAAAAAATTGATATGCCTCAAACACCCTAATTCTGCAAATGAGCTCTTCTTAGCATTTATATCAATTGAAAATCTTATAAGTATGGAAGAGTTCAATAAAGTGTGAAGGAAATGCTAGCTCAGCTTTTCTTCTCTTGCATCCAGCATTTTTTTTTGACAGTATAAAACCCTGCCCTGTCATGCTAGTCAAAAAATCTAGCTTCCACAATAAAAAAGTAGGTTATAGAAGAACATTTCTGCTTTCAGTTTACGGAAGTTAAAAGAAGTTTGCTATCCAAATATAGATGAAGCCCATTGGTTGTCGAATATCGAGTCAACTCATTGGTTAGAACATATTAAGGTTCGTACAATACCATGTGCAGTATCTTAGAATTCTTTCATGAAAAGGATAGCTTTGATCCTACAAGATGTGTAGGTCTGTGGCTGTGGTATACATCAGTCAGTAACAATATGGATTTACTGCAAGGTTACTAGACGCTGTGGGTTTGAATCTTCTTCAGGAGACCTGACAGTGGCACAGCTCTAATGAAAGCTAGTTGCATTGACATGATAAATAGATGATTTTGAATTAGCAAAAATAATTCCAGTTGATACTATAAGAAGTAGTGTTAGCTCTCAATTACTTTCAAGTGGTTATCTATAGAGTTTCCATTTTACCTTCTTCATTTTTTACAGCAAATTCTAGCTGGAGCCGTCCGTGTAGCTGATAAGGTAGAGAGTAATAAGACATCAGTTTTAGTTCATTGTAGTGATGGCTGGGATAGAACCGCTCAGGTAATGATTGCTATAAACTTTTTGGTCACTTGTAGTTAGAAATCAGCCAGAATGTTGATATCTTAATTTAACAGTATTGGCTATGATGATGGTGGATCTTAGTCACATTGGGGCCGCGCGATTAGAGGGTTCTGCACATTCAGGATTTTTGGAATCAACAGAACATTCAATAAAACAAGTTGGAACAGAGCTCAGAACGAGTTCCACGTGTGTTGAAAAATAGTAGGTGCAGACAGAATTAAAATGAATGGAAAGAAATAGATGGGAAAATTTTGAATCGCTTTCGTCCCATTAGATTGCAGGCAGAAACTCTCCAGTCAAGCGCCACCAAATTTAATCTGTGACCGGATGAATTTTTGTTTTTTTTTCAGTTAACAGGTCTAGCTATGTTGATGTTAGATCCTTATTATAGAACTATTAAAGGTTTTGAGGTCCTTATTGAAAAAGAATGGCTCAGTTTTGGTCACAAGTTTGCTCAAGTAAGTCAATAGGTAGAATTTGTCATCAGTTTAGTTTCTTTTTGCTTTCAAATGCAGGATGAAGCAGCTAACATAGGATAATTTGTTTTTCATGGGCACCAAATTTTGAGGAATTTTTTCAGAGAGAGTAAATTTGTGAACTATTTTAGCAAGTAATTTATCATTGATTTCACCACAAATTCTAATCCCCTTCAACCTTTTTTAACTTTTTTCCTAGAGAGTTGGACATGGAGAAGACAAGCATTCTGATGCTGACAGGTCACCAGTATTTCTACAGTTTATGGATTGTGTCTGGCAGATGACTAAACAGGTATGTTAGCTATGTGGATTCTCTAAAATGATGGTGAATTGACAAACCCAGTTGCAGAGTGACATCAGGTGTCCTAGGAAGTAAGAGCATGCCCTGTCGTATTTATCATAGTTGAGCTCAAATTCAATAAGTTTTTGGACTTAGACTAAAGAGCAAGTTAGTTGTAAAACGCTTGCTCACTATACCAGAGCTGTTCATTTGGCTCTATTTGCCGGTCCTGACTGATAGAGCTGCTCAAATGACCAACAGTCAATATGTATTATAGCGACTATACCGAAGGTTCAAGTCTGTGATAGGTTGAGATGATGTCTTGAGTTTTTTAATACTGTTCCTGGAGGTTGAAGTAGGTAACATCTCATTAATCTTTCAAATTTTCTGTTGTCTGTATTATTATTATTTTTTTATGTTTCAGTTTCCGAATGCGTTTGAGTTTAATGAACATCTATTAATAACAATTCTAGATCATCTTTATTCCTGTTTATTTGGTACTTTTCTTTATAATTGTGAACAGCAGAGAGCAAAAGAGGTCTGTATTGTTTTCTAAATTTCTTGAAATATTTAAACAAAACCTGAAATATGTTGTTACTCTGTGATCTAGTTCACCATATGTGCCTACTGAAATTAACTTGATGATAATAATAACCAATGGACTGCAATGATTTAAATTTAGAAAATAGAATGAAAATTGGCAGCGTATGTGCGAAGTTTCTTTGCCAGGGTGTAATGTAAAAATTGGCAGCCAATCTGAATTATGTGCAAACACATGCATGAATAGGCAACCCCTCTCATGTGAAAAAGGTAGTTTTGATTGGTTATAATTCCCTATTACATACAAGGCCATTTGGATAAAGTCAACCACTATTCTATCTATTTCATTAATAAGGGAGTGGTTATAACGATAAAGGTTATTCAAGCAGTCAAAAATTCTCAGGGGGTTCTCACAAGCAATCCTTCCACTATGTATAATGATATAAAATTTGAAAGGGGGGAGGGTGGGAGGGGGGCCAAAGCCTGCCAGCTTAATTTCTTGGGCTCTTTTTCTGGCACCTGTGGAAACGCTACTGATAAACAAACATGTTAATAAATTAATTGATATTTTTATTGTAGAAATTAAAACACAACACCATGTCTCTGTGGTCGTTTGTAAATTGTCAACTAGAGGAATTCACCAACCCATTATACGTTCAATATCTTCATAAACATGTTCTATTCCCCGTCGCTAGTCTACGTAGGATTGAATTATGGGTAGGATATTATTGTCGATGGAATCCCAGAATGAGGCCACAGGTTCGTAAGATTTTTTGGGGGTTTTCTAACTGGTGACTATTTACAGCTTCCTAACATACTAACATTTTCAACTAATATCTTGAAAATTCTGTGACTTGTTGACAGCTGATTTATAACATACAATTCTTAGATCTGATTGGTTCAACTGCAATATTGTCAACCAATCAGATTTATTAAAGTTACAAGCTCCAGAATTATATCCCCTCTGACTAACTTTTCTACTGTTTAGCGCTAAAAGTGTGGACCTAAAATGCTAATGATATGGAATTTGGGGTGTTTTTGTCAATTTTTACCGGTTTTAAAATTTTAGATTATATAGCTCATAACCTAACAAATCCTGAATCAATTTAAAGCTATCTATTCTACTGTGTAACTTGACTATTAAAACCCTGATGTGAACAATGTCTTAGATCAACTTTATTACTATTATAAGAACATGATAGCTTTAAAAAAAATTGTAATTTTACTAACAATGATTAACTTAATTAATATTTTCTTAAGGGTCCAGATTGTACCTGGGTAAATACAGTCATTCTTATTGAAATATATTTAGTTTTTCCTAGCCCCATTTTTTTTTTTTTTTTTTTTTTTTTACAAATTTTCACATTTTTATTCAGGTTTTCAGTTTTTTACATATTTGTGTCCATTTTTTAGATGAATCCCTGCATATATAATTGAGCTTTTGAGCTTAATTAAAATTACTATTTGATTAAACAATAAGCTTAACTATAAACTGGGCAATACAGGGACTTATCTGAAGCTGATCCTTTATACAACAATTTTTGTAATTTTGAATTTTCATTTCAAGTTGTCTTTGTTTTAATATGTGTTATGTTTTTTTTATCAGTTTTTATTTATTTCTATTTTCTTGTCATCTCACTGCCTCTGCCCTTCACACTCACATTTGTTCCAAATATTATAAATAAAAAATGAATTTGGAGGAGGGCATTTTAAGATATAACACCTGCTGAAAAATGTTCAAGAATTATTTATATTTTGTACTAGCCTGAATTTGATATTAATAATAATTTGGTCTTTAACTTCGAGTATCGATTTAGCATCCCCTCAGAGAGTCCACATAGCTGAAATGCTAATTTGGTTTTTGAGTTAATCAGCATTCCATTCAGAGAGTCCACATAGCTTATGTTTATTTAGTACATAGGTTTGTCCACATAGCTTATAAAATTATGATGTATTGAAATTTTCAATTCTCTATCCCATTCTGAGAGTCCACATAGCTAAAAATGTTAATTTGGTATTCAGGTTTTTCAACTCTGTATCCCATTGAGAGAGTCCACATAGTCAATAATGTTTATTGTATGTTTCAGGAACCAGTACATCTACGAAATCGAGAATTACTGATTTTAAAACAGCAATTACAACAGAAAGTTAATGATTTACAGAAAGAACTTCAGAATAAAAATGCCAGAGCTGCCCTCGACCCTTCACCACAAAAATTACACCCCTCTATGGTATAGTCCTGGATTTCAAACCATTTCTAGCTTTCAAAAATAAAATATTGAAACTATTCTCAAATTAAACAAGTATTAAATGATTCCTGTCATTCCTCTAAAACTAGGCTTATGATGACATCACTATCCCAGATCCTTTGGGATAGTGATGTCATAAAATATTTAGTTTTAGTGGAATTGCAGGAATCACAGAATATGACTGAAAATTGGAATGGTGCAAATTGATGCTATCCATGTCCGTGATACACATAAAAATTGAGAAAACCTCTCCACAATCCCTTAAAGTATTTCAATATATCACTGAAATTAGACAACTTTGACTCTTTGGTTGAAAATTGTATCGCAATGTATGTGCAATATGAATGGTTTTCAAAAATTGAAATTGCTTGCTTCTTATGAAACCAGTATTTTACATGCCTAGACCAGTGCTTCTATTCTACGTGCCCAGTTGAAGGTTTCCAGGCTGTATTTTCAATCGGATTAGAAAGCAGAACTGAATATTTCCTGTTTTTTTAACATGTACAAAAAAAACACGAAATGAAACATCTGTATTTGCAATTTCATCAGATTTATTTATTTTAGGACCAAATTTTGAAAGATATTCCAACTAACTTTGTGTTTTGAATCCATTTAAAATAGGATTATGTATTATTCATGATGGGGTGGGGGTATTCTGGGAAATAATGAAATCACTCCACAAAGTCGACTTCCCATATAGTTATATTATTGTATGTATTATTTATTTGTTACCCTGTATATACATAATATTATTTTATTCTGTAGGCTTCATTTCATTATTAATTGGGATTTCTTGTCAATTTTTATCATAACTTTTGGTCATTCAATATAAATAGCAAAATCACTGATGAACATTTCAGAGTTCTTATCAGAAATGACTGGCAAATATGCCTAAATCAACAGCCCTATTTAAATGATATTATTAATGTATTCTGTAGGCTTTGTTTTATAATAAATCCTTATCATTTTTAAACTGGTTTTTTTTTTCACAATATTCGAGTTGAGATTATCAAAGGAGCAATGAGTCTACTAAAAGGCTTGGCCCTTGATATATAATACAGCATATGATTGAATGATACTAAGTCATGTTGGAATATATGCTATATTATGTATGTCATGTTGTAATATATGCTATATTATATGTCATGTTGGAATATATGCTATTTTATATATGTGATGTTGTAATATATGCTATATATGTCATGTTGGAATATATGCTATATTATATATGTCATGTTGTAATATATGCAATATTATATGTTATATTGTAATATATGCTATATTATATGTCATGTTGTAATATATGCTATATTATATGTCATGTTGGAATATATGCTATTTTATATATGTGATGTTGTAATATATGCTATATTATATATGTCATGTTGGAATATATGCTATATTATATATGTCATGTTGTAATATATGCAATATTATAATGTATGTTATGTTGTAATATATGTCATATTGTAATATATGCTATATTATATATGCCATGTTGTAATATATGCAATATTATAATGTATGTTATGTTGTAATATATGTCATATTGTAATATATGCTATAGTATATATGCTATGTTGTAATATATACTATGCTATATGATATGCTGTATTACATAGCTATGCTACATTATATATAAATTATCATAGACATGTATGCATTTATGTATGTGTCTTATTAAAAAAATAAACATAAAATGTGCAACAATTTATTTATTGCTGGTTCAAAATACATTTTGATTATTTTAATATAATTATTACATATAATACCTTGAAACAATAATAATAATAACAATAATAATAATAATGATAATCAGTTGCATATAGTACATTTAAAATACAATTCATTGATCATTAAATAGACTAACAAATTTCATAGCTACAGCATTTCATGGACATTTCAATGAATACAACATTTCATGGACAGTTTAAGGGTACAGAATTTTATGGACAGTTTAAGGGTACAGAATTTCATGGACAGTTTATTGGCTTCAGGTTTTCATGGACAATTTATAGGCTACGAATTTCAAGGACAGTTTAGTTTATGGGTGGAATTTCATGAACACAATTCATGGACAATTTTTGGGCTACAGAATTTCATGGACAATTCACTGACTACAGATTCTAGTTGACATTACTTATGCTACAGCATTTTATGAATAATTCATGGGCAACAGCATTTCATGGATAGTCAAATGAAGTAACAGGGAAAGCAGGAAATATTTTAGTTGATGGTAAAGAGATGGTCCATTGAAAAAATGAGTTTTGATCCTTATAAATGAGTCTTTACTTTAAAAAGTTGTCTGTAGTTTTAACAAAGTCATTGCTTTCAATTGAAATGCTGCTAGCTAGGCACTAGTAGGCTGAAAGAAGCTGTAAAAAGATGCATGGCAGAAAAGCAAGGCAGAAAATTGAGGCACTCACAATTTCAGAACGGAACAATTATTGGACCTAAAATTTTCAAGAAAATAGCACATATGTTTATAATGAAATATATTTCAATATTCCAAAATTTGTAAAGTTGCTAAGTATATATAATTTTGCATATTTATACTAAAACAGTTGCAAAGTGGCTTTCTTGATATTATAGCCTATTTTACATAATATACAGGTAAATTTGCATGAATAAACGTACATATTTTCATTTAAAGAAACCGCAAATAGATTTTTCCTGATAAATCCTCACCAGTATGAAGATTTCTTCTAGCAATTATGAAATTATTCTGAATAATGTAATATTATGTTCATGACTCTAAAAGTTGACGGATGAAATACTATATATAAATAATCACAGTACAACAAATATTATGTGAAATAAATGATTTTATTATAGAGTAATGGTGAGCATGAAATTGACCCTTTCTTGACACTTTACAGCACTTTACACTTGGCTTTTCAATTTTTCAGGTGTCTTTTATTTACCCAATATAGTGTAGAAAAGTAGAACAGATCTCTCCATTTCATTTCAAATTCAGAAGTCCTCATTTTAGACTCTTACATTCAAATCAAAACACATATACTGTCAAATATGAGACATGAAGGACCACGCTAAGGCAATTAATACCACAGAAACAAGAACCAGTCCTGGACTAATCTTAAGGTGCCCTCACACCAGAATACCAGTTGCGCATGGTTACACACAATGGAAGTGGTCACGAGTTCTGAACACAACTCACAATTCAGTTGCATGAGAGTAGTGTTGCAAACTTATGACTGCTAGTCTTATATACAACTGGTGATGGCCACTTTATTGCCGCGGTCCCAACAGATATTTTCCATCAAATTTCATGTATTTTGAGTGGCAGCACCAGCCTTCCGAGACTGGGGGTACACATAGGGGGCAGACTTACTCAATGGGGAGACAACTGCTGAGGATGAATTCAAATTTAGGTTACTCTGTGGTGCCACAGTGGTGGTGTCATAGTCGCAAGCCTCTCGGAGAGCGTCTTAAAGGGTTCTCTCAAGACAATTTTAGAAAAAATGAATCAATATTGTGCATTGTGACACATTTTGGAGAAAAAAGGTAGACACTCAGATTTGTTGAAAATAAAGTGAGGGTACAAATGGGGTGCAAAGCACTTTTCTAGGGGGGCAAATGCCTCCCCTGTACCCCCACAGTGTATTTTCAAGGTGACACAGTGACTGTAGTAAGTTTCCAATCTATAAGTAAGATGAGGGTCAATTTCTCCAAATATAATTATATTAATGCATAAATAATTATAATGATATGCATACACATGGTGAATTGATGGTACACATGAAATAGACTAGAAAACATCACGATTATATGAAATACTGATTTGAAATTCCTAAATGATGACTTTTACATGAAATTTCAGGGTTTTGGAGTTCAGATTTGTTTTTTTGTTGTTGCGTATACTAGTACTTCAAAACCAGATAAAATTCATTAAAACATGTACTGACAAATATCTAACATTATAAATCATTTGGAATTTTAGTGTCAGTACTTCAGGAGTATTCCTTTCAGAGAGTTTACATAGTTAATAATGTGTAGGTTTGACATTTGACATCCTATAGAGTCCACAGAGCTATAATTTGGGTAATGTTGACAGATGTCGTTTTAACGCTAAAAATTTCTGACTTTTACAGCACTAAATGATTAGAATAAACAAAACTATAATTAAATGACATGAGATTCAACATGGAGATTTATAAAATGAAAGTAGAGAGTATGAAATAAAAAGTGGTACAAAGATTGTTTATATTCTGTAAGGCACAGGCCATGGCAGCAAACATCCTACATGAAAGAAGATTGGAATCTACTAGACAGCCATCTTCATAATGTCAAGCTATTAAAAATTTGACTCTTAAATCTTGACAGTGATAAGATGCAAGACAGATAACTGTCTGGTTTGCCCTGGTGCATCTTCACAATGTCAAGCTATAACAAACTTCATCTATACCTTGACTGCAATAGCCACCTTTCTTATATCACTGAGTGCAGCAATTTGATTGGATTGTAAGCTAGCCAACCATAGCCCTCTGCAGACAGACTAACCATTATGGCATATTGATTACCGACTTTCTGACGAGGACTTTGATTGGCTGTATTTGCTAGCGTACAATCCAATCAAATCACTGCATTACAAACTTCTGTGATACAAGAAAAGGGCTATAAGAGGTATAAGATGAAGTTTGTAATAACTTGCCATACTGAAGATGGCCTTGGTACTGATTGAGTTTTTCTAACAATAGCATCATTACATCTTCTATTTCCACTATCCCAACATTTATGGTTCCTGTTATTCAACAAAAGCTGAGTAGTTATGTAGAATTACAGGAACCAAAACGTTGGAATGGTTTAAATAGAAACTGTAAGTGCCCCAGTAAGAAGCAGACTAGGCCTAATTGAAGACTTGATATGTACATACTAAGTGTGAAAGTTCGTATTTAGCTACAGGGCCTCGTTTCAAACACAATTTTACATCCAAAATTTATCGAAAATATTCAAATTTGCATGTAAAAAAACAACAAAATTTGAATATAAGATTTTTTGAGAAACAGGGACAATAATATATGCCTCTCTGACTAAAAACAAAATCTACTTGACAAAATTCTAACCTAATATCCAAAACTATTCAAAAAAATATAAAATAACCATTTTGAGCAAACTGACTAATATGAAAGTAAAATTGAAGATAAAATTGAAAAATTTAAAGAAAAATATTGAAATTTAAAACAGAGATAACAATTTGAGTGAAAATCGCAGAATTCATTCTAGATCTTAACGACAGGCTGAGCAATAACCCTTATTTAACTTGGAATAATATTTTACTTAGTGTCAATCTAAATTCTGGAAATGGTTTTGTCATTTTCATCTGAGCAGTTTGCAAGACCATCTGGCATCAGGTCAATTTCCACAATGCATAATAACTATATAAAATGAACACTTAAGATTATGCATCTTCAAAAACTATCAGTAAAACTAAAAAAAAGTGGTTTTATGATTTCAAATTCATGGTCATAGGAATTGTGGTAAACTACCCAAAATTTGATTTAAAAAACTACACAAATTATGCTTTCATCATCATAAGATGAGTATAATATGTGCACAAAAAGTGATGACATCATAAAATTTTGTGTAGGTGTATATATATGTGCACAGTTTGTGATAACATCATTATAATATGTGTACTTCATTCAAAAATATAAAAAAATTCAAATCTTTGGCAGTGTCCACTCTGGTTCGTATCCATTCCTCCGTGAATGTTATAATTCTAATCAGCAGATAAGAGTTTGTTTTTCTTCAGAATTATTTGCAACTTCATATTTTGCAATGAAAAGTTTGGATTTAAACCAACAATATAGCTATATTAGAATCTTGACACAAGTTTAACATTGTACATAAAGTTTAACACAGTTTAACTCTGTTTTGATAGTTAATATCCTTCCAATCTGGATACATCCAACACCCCTCGACAGTTTAATGAACTCTTCCTCACATCCAGATCCTCAACCATTTTGATGCACTCTTGTTGATTTTAGAAGAGTCTATTTTTAATAATAGGGGTGTTGTTTTACTCTCACATGATATCAAACTCTCTACTTTTATTATGTCATTACATTATCACTCTTAACCAAATCACAGTCTGTTCGCCAACATGGCTCTCCTTCATCCTTTTCCTCGGGAAATCATTCCAATTCCAGTTTTTCCAGTCTACTAAAATATGGAACTTGATATATCCTAGATTAAAGGAGATGGTAAGGATTATATCTAAAGTTTGTAGGATTAGCACCACTGATAGTTGGGGCTCGCTTGGAGAGTTCTGAACAGGGTCTGTGTGTTCCAATTCTGCCCCAAGCGGACAATATGGAAACGGATATGTCACATTCAAAACTGTCCCATCTATATCCTTCTCCGCGTTTTGAATTCTGTCTGCACCTACTATTTTTGCGGTACACATGGAACTCGTTCTGAATTCTGTTCGTACTTATATTGATTCCATAAATTCTGAATGTGCAGAACTCACCAAACGAGCGGGCCCGATAGAGTCAAGATAATGACCTACAATGACAATGAAGGTTCACTGATGATAAAAAAAAACTTGCCCTTGTTTTGTTTGTATCACAGGCGTGGTGATTTTATAATAATGTATTTTACATTAAGAACTATCACTACCATACACTAGTATAGATTTGTTGCCACCATTGTTTTATCAATCATTTGACAATGTAGCAAAGGTGTGGTGTTTGCTACAACACTAAGGTATTTGTTTTAAATGCAATGCTTTCCAACATTTACACATTGCTACGAATAAGGCATCCTTATATATTGCCAACATAATTATAGATGTTTTGTTGCAAAACATGGAATTCCCAAAATCATTTTTCAAGTCTGTGGATATGTTCATGTAATTTTTTGCTGCAACACTAAATATTAAGTTGTTTTTAATATTGCTATGATTTTTTATCGAATGAGAAATTATAATTTCATAATCATATGTACATGTCTACTTTAAAGATAATATTATTGATTAATTATGCACATAATTACTGTAATTATTCATGATAAACCAATCATAATTGAATTACAATCTCACACTTCCAGGTGTTTTTCAAATTCCTAATGATTGTTAGGAAGGAAGCTACAATTACTGTATTCTCAGTATTTGTACCAACAATATTTTCAAGTTTTCCAGCTCCACTTTCCTTTTGTAACTTTATTTTTCAGTACTCCAACTAGCTTTTAAAATTTGATGTTTGTGAACTTGTTGTTTCAGATTTTTCCGTGAGCCCTAAAACTTTGATATTCTACGGCACTATCAGTTCTATTTGATATAAATAAAGGCAAGAGGAGTTACCTCAAGAGTTATCAGACAGGAAGTTCACCCGGATCGTTTTTCTTCATGACCTCACGATAAGCGGGAGGGGGATAGTCATTATACACACTGTTTCCACGCAACCCGTTAGAATTGGCGGACAGTCTCTCTGATTCACGTGGAGCCAGCCCTTTTTCAGGCTCTTCCAGAATCTTGGGTTCCAAGTACCCGTTGTTATCCACTGGTGAAGTTCCAGGAGCGTAGCTACTCGAATGGCCGCTGTCCGTATCGTCAGGGCAATGAATATCTGCTCGTGTTCGAAGTTGAACCGGTGAATTTGGTTCTCCTTTTGAAGATTTGATTGGTGTGGCCCCGCCGTTTGATATGACACTTTCTCGATTTCCCCCCGTTAACGGTTGAAGTTCGATGTCATCTGCCTTTTCTTTCTTCCAACGTGATTGGTTGACATATCTTGCTGATTCGATATCATCATCACCCGTGTAATTTCCCGAACCCGTTACGGGGACAACATTCGATATCCCATTGGTCATTTTTAAATAGCCATCTTGGTTCAACGGTTCTTTTTCATAATCCGGTGTTTTTTGGTAGGGAGAATTTAAATCTAGGTAATACTAAAAATAAATATCAAATAATTAGTTACTTCCAAAAAAAGAATTTAAAAAATTCAAATATGTAAGAACATGACACTTTAAAACTCAAGCACAAGGAGAAATCATTCAATTACATGATACTTTTCAACAAGTTTGTTTTTAAAAAAAAGAAACATAAGGAACAAGTATAAGTGAATGTTAAATAGTTAAATTACTGCTAATCATTGTTCCTCATGCCTAAAATACCAGAGTCAGATAGCTAGGTAAAAAACGGAAAATTAATTTGACCCTAAAAATTGTAAATTGGTAGTTTAAAATAAATTTGAGGAAAGGCTCTGACTTTACAATACCAGAAAGGCTCTGACTTTACTATACCAGAAAGGCTCTGACTTTACAATACTGAAAGGCTCTGACTTTACTATACCAGAAAGGCTCTGACTTTACAATACTGAAAGGCTCTGACTTTACTATACCAGAAAGGCTCTGACTTTACTATACCAGAAAGGCTCTGACTTTACAATACTGAAAGGCTCTGACTTTACTATACCAGAAAGGCTCTGACTTTACTATACCAGAAAGGCTCTGACTTTACTATACTGAAAGGCTCTGACTTTACAATACCAGAAAGGCTCTGACTTTACTATACTGAAAGGCTCTGACTTTACTATACTGAAAGTCTCTGACTTTACTATACTGAAAGGCTCTGACTTTACAATACTGAAAAGGCTCTGACTTTACTACACTGAAAGGCTCTGACTTTACAATACTGAAAGGCTCTGACTTTACTACACTGAAAGGCTCTGACTTTACAATACCAGAAAAATGTAGGGGAAAGTAATCTAAACTAAAAATTCTAATTTGCTAATTTAAAATAAATTTGAGAAAAGAAGGCAGACAGAACATACCTGTTTGACATTTTCCTCCAGGAAGTCTCCCATTCTGTTGACCAGTTGAGTAAAAGTGGGACGTTTTTCAGGGTCTGCATCCCAGCATTGTAACATCACCTTATAGCTGAAAATAAACAGGATACAAAATGGAATGAGTTATAAACTCTGTTCTAATTTGTTTTATTGAATATCGGGTTGATTCCATGAATTACGAACAAGCAAAAAACACTTTTGACCAAAGAAAAATTCAAAGTTCACAATGTCAAACCATCATATTAGAAAAAAAAAAACAACAAAAAAACAAAAACAACACTTACATATCATCTGAAGCATGTTCAGGTTTCTCCATTCGATATCCTGATTTTAATAAACCAATAAATTTCTCGTTCAGTTCGATACCAGAGTAGGGATTACCTCCAAGTGAGAAGAGTTCGTACATCAACACACCGTATGACCAGCTGAAAAATAGAAAGAAATATTACCAAAAATAGGACAGAAATGAAATGAAGTTTGCAATGAGGGAAAATTTGCCATGACAGAAGCATTTGTCTACTAATACTTATTTACAGTCAAAGTTGAATGATCTAGAAACAAAACTGTCTTAAGCATTTGCTTTATCTACAGATAAAGCCTTATTTAAAGCTATCTGTATCACTTTTCAAGAATAAAATCTGATTTTCTGTTCTCATGCAATTCCATAAAAAATGAATGAGACAATGGTTAAAATGAAATCCTGGTATAAAATTGCCACTGAGAGTATAACAAATTCAAAAAAATTAAAATTGGTACATACACATCACTCTTGGTTGTATAACATTTATGAGTGAGAGATTCTAACGCCATCCACTTCACTGGTACTGGACCCTGTAAAATATTCCAGCTGATATCAAAACTCAGGTTCTAGTTTATAAAAATATTTCATTGTTATACATACTAGACTTCATTAATATTCATAAAGGCTCAACTTTGTGGGTCAGTAATCCCAGAAATTGAATTTTAAAAATTTTCAAAAAACGTTAAAAAATTAACCGGCAGGATTTTTTTAGTTAAAACTTTCAGACAAGGGACAAGTTACTCTAGGTTTCAGTTTATAGTTTTCATAAATTTGAGCAAAAAAAAATCGTTTACATCTCAGCAAAAAACAGAATTTCTGTAAAATCATTAATAATTAAAGGGGCTCAATTTTCATGGATTTTATTGCTCAGTTCATCAATGAATTTACAACCCCACCAAATATAATAACTGTTGGTATGTGAATGGTATCAGTACAACCAATTAGTGCGGAAAGTTTGAAAATACAGCAATAACAAATGAGTCGATGACCTATAAAGAGGGGGTGTCGTGTACAAAGCAAACCATGCTTACTCTTTTCAAAAACACCTGAAAGTACTTTTTTTTTTGAGGAGTCCACAACTATACAACTTTTATTCTCAATGTTGCCATACTTTATTTTGACCAACAGAACTGTCTTGCATGTACACATTTTTTTTTTACAAAGGACTGCCATAGATGTGATTTAAAATTAGCAAACTTACATCACCCTTTTTCTTGTATTCGAGATTTTTATAACAATCTTTAGCCAGACCGAAATCACTGATTTTAATAACATTATCTTCACTCAGTAGAACATTACGGGCTGCTAGATCTCGATGTATGTACTGAAAATATAAATCAAATAAAGAATTAGAATTTTACATCCCCCTCTTCAATACCTTAAATAATAAAATGAAATGGAGTTTTATATCCTACTGTTCAGTACCTTATTGGACTAATGAAATGAAATGGAGTTTTATATCCTACTGTTCAGTACCTTATTGGACTAATGAAATGAAATAGAGTTTTATATCCTCCTGTTCTGTACCTTATTGGACTAATGAAATGAAATAGAGTTTTATATCCTACTGTTCTATATCTTATTGGACTAATGAAATGAAATAGAGTTTTATATCCTACTGTTCTGTACCTTATTTGACTAATGAAATGAAATTTAATTCCTTCTGATTTGCACTTTATTGGACTAATGAAATTAAATCGTCAAAATTTTTTGCAGACTTCACTTTTTACTATGAAGGTCCTGCTCCTTTTATTAGTTTGATCCCAGCTCACCTTTTTGGAAGCGAGATATTCCATTCCACGAGCAGCCTGAAAAGACCAGCAAATCAGATTCTTGGTAGTGAGAGGTGGACCAATCAAATCTGCGCTATTTATAGCCACTGGTTTGTTGACGTAGTAGGGTTTATTTTTATCTCCTGCAGCCTCCATCTTCTTCTCAAAAGCTGGATCGCTGTAATCTTCCATGGTGTTAACAAACGAAGCTTGATTCTTTAATAAATAACTTCGAACATTTCCAAAATGACAGTATTCCACTATAACATATAGCTCTCCTGTAAAAATGATCAAAATTGTTCTATCATAGCATTTTTCTTTATGAAGTTTACATTCAATTGTTGTTTCTTTTGGACTAATGAAATGAAATATAGTTTGAATCCTACTGCTCTGTAACTGGTTAGATTATATAATACATGTCATGCAGTGAGCAATGAGGGACATTTTGTGTATGATTTTTGGTTTTGACTACTGCATGGATAGTGATTTGGATAGATGTGGTGGGGCCTCGATATTCATGGTGATATATAATATCTCAGATTTACTTGAAGGCAAGAAAAGGTGCGCATTGTCTTTACAATTATACAGTATGTCTATTTTTATAAGATGTGTGAACTCACCAAATCTGATGTTCTTAGTCACAGCTCCGAGTAAATTGAGAATATTAAGATGTTGTCCAATATGAATTAAAATCTTCAACTCTGATAACAGCGCCATCATCTGTTCTTTATCCGTACAATCTGAAAAATAAAATATCAGTAAAGAAACAACAATGACTTTAAAAAGATAACTAATTAGGTTCTCTATGATCTAGTCAACCAGCTGGTCCTTGGCCTCTTAGTGATGATTTACAAGGATAACCACTAAGATTCTGAGGGCTCCCGTCTTCTAGCTCATCCTTGACCAAACCACTTGTCAAGGTTCTCAAAGATCTTTTCTGCCAGAGTCCTTGAACATATCTGTCGGATCTCAAATATGTTTCAACTTAAAAATATATTTTGGAGTGAAGATAAGAAAATAAGGAGATAGTACCTTTGACCATTTTAACTGCGACTATGGTAACATCTTCATCTGCTATCCCAATAGCCTCTGTTTTAATAACACGACCAAATGCACCCTGTCCTAACACGTTACCTAAAAAAAGATCAACATCAAATACAATATTTTTTCAAAAACTTGGGACAGATCAACTTAGGTAAATTATGTTAATTGGTTATTTTCTGAAAGCAAACTTTTGTGGCCCCAGTGACAAAATTTTCAAAATGGCCAAAATATCCATACAAAGGATATAAGTTTCAATTTATTAAGCACATTGAAATCAGTACAATATTTGCTAGGGTGCCCTTATGGCTGCAAATAATGAAAGTGGCCATGAGTTCCGAATGCAACTCAGTTACATAAGCTCATACTAGATTGCTATAATGTGAGGGCCCCATAATATACTATGGGTAACAGAAAAGATGTCAATAAGAGTTACTCACCCATTCTGAGCCTATCTTTAGGGAATTCCCACTGAGGATCATAAGGAAGAGAGGCTGTCTGTTCGTCAATTGGTATTTCTGGATTATAGTCACATTTAGGTGGCAATAAATACTGTTCATAGTCCTTCATCTAGTAATAACAAAATATAAATAAATTAAACAAATCAAATTCATGAAGGTGAATGAAACAAATAATTGATTAAAAGGATTGTAAAAAGGTATTCTTAACTTTAAATGTGTATCAGGGACACTGATAGTATCAATTTGCATCATTCCAATTTTCAATCAGATGTCTGTGGTTCCTGCATATCGACTAAAACATATGGCGAAGGGCATATTTTTCGATTAGTGACATCATCAAACACTTAGTTTAAGTAGAAATGCAGGAAGACTGGAAGAAAGTGAAAGATAAAAGCTGGATAACCTACCTTAATAACAAGAGATGTTCTCATTCTCCTGATAAAGATCACAATGATAATAATAATAATAATGGTAGCTACTAGTATACCTACAATGATACCAATATACACTGACGACAACCCTGCTTCTCCTGGTTTACCTAAAATACATTAATTTGATTACTTAGATAGATGTAAGGCTGACACCACAGTGACTGGTCATGGCTTCCAGCAGTATTGACTGATGTAGCAAGCCACATCATTGCCCTAAAAATCAAAATTTAATGCAGATTCAAATGGTGAAGTTTTTACCCTCAAACAGTTAAGGAACCCCCCAAAAAACTTGTATAACAATTTCAACTTTCTTACCTCCAACAAGAAGAGTCATGTTGCTACTGGTTTTCCCGCCACAATTGGATGCTTCACAGATATAATTCCCAGCATGCACTTCTGTAGCATTCTCGATCATTATTCTGAAGAAAATCCACATAGTATTTAAATAATAAATAAAATACAGACTTGGGACTAATAAGATCTTTTATTTCTGAAATTTGGGCCTAAAATTTTATAGGAAATAGATATCTAAGGTGAAGAATAGGTGTGTTTGAAGCAGACGACAATCCAAATTTTGAGGCGTACAGCATACCTGAAACCATTTTGTGAATAGCCAATGTTCATTGTGTTGTTACTATAAATAATCTCCCCGTCTTTATACCATTTTACGTTGGGAATGGGGTAACCTCCGACATGACAATCTAGGGAGAGGGATGTTGATTTCTCGGCTCGGATTTTACCAGATGCACTTTCCTTAATGAATGGTTTGATGCTGTCTGTAATATATAAAATTATTAAGGGTATTAAATCAACTGATCATTCAAAGAACCAATCCAACAATCTTAGATCTACTTGTGTGCCAATTAACAATTGTGTCAAATGTCACCATGGTCAAGGTATTACAAACTTTGTCTTATACCTTGACTACAATTAGCAACTGTTCTTGTATCACAGAATGCAGCAATTTGACTGAATTGTACTCAGAGCCACAGAAAGAATGTAAACATTTTGGCTTATCATTTATAGACTTTCCGTCATCGGCTCTGATTGGCTGTATTCACTAGAGTACAATCCAACCAAATCACTGCATGTAACCAAGGTGTTAGACAAAGAACCTTGTCCACTGTGAAGATGAACCACCAGGAGAAGGGAATAATGAGAGAAGGTGACTTATTCAAAATCGTTAATTTCTATATCATCCATCTTGAATTTGCCTCTTTTTAAGATTGAAGACCAGAGGTTATAACATTGATAAACTTACCATGAAATTTGAGAGTATATCGTGCTGAATCTAGAGTATTATCAAACTTTAAACCAAAACATTGATAAATTCCAGCATCTTTCTTTGATAGATTCTCAAACAGGGCTGTTCTTACAATAGAATAACCAGTACTAGAATATACACAGATACAAAACATTAGAAAAATGAAATGAAATGGAGTTTTACATCTTAATCCTAATACTAATCCTTTACATTACTTAATACCTCATTGGACACAATTATATGGATAATAACTAATAAAATGAAATAAAGTTTCGACAATGATACAATAGCCTTTATCAAGCAATGATGGCTCATGGAAAATCCAGACCCACTGATATAATGAAAACAGACAAAGCCATGCAGTGGAGAATGAGGGAAATATGCCATACAAATTTATTTTACATGCTCTTTATTATGGGCTTTATTTTTCAGATATAATATACAAGACAGAACTTCATATTTAATCCTTTCGACTCTAGGGGCCACATAATTACGCAACATATACTGTTATATAAAGTTAACGTCATACGCTTCAAGTTATATTAGAGTATATATTGTTTTAGATTTCATTCACTGTGTGTTCAAAAAATAAAATGAATGGAGTTTCACGTCCTACTTTTCTACACTATGTGGGCTAATGAAGACAGATCAAAGTGTTCAAAGAGTTAAGAAAAAGAAGAAAATTTATCAACTGACCTGCCAATAATAGAAGTAAAACCGGACATTTCAGTGGTAGGTGTTACAGTGTTATCACTAATATTATAATATCCTGCTGTACTATCATTCTCCACCTCCGTACTGGTAAAAATATCTGTTACGTTAATCGACGACATGCTGACAGGTTCATCTTGAAATTTATAAATAACTAATGATTTATACATCCACAGACTTCCATAACAATCCAACTCAAGTCTCTCGTCACATTCTGTTACTTTGTGGGTAATTTCACCGAATCCAAACCCTTTTGGAATATCTGAAATAAAAATATAACACTCTGAGATTTTTTCTTAATCAGAACCCAATTTTCTTTTTTTATAATTTCCACTTGAACATCAGAGATAGCACAAAATTCGAAAAAAAAACTAACAGTTTTATTCTGTTTCAATAAGCCAGTTTTTTTTTTTGGCCAAATTTTTTAACAGCACAAAACAATTTCAATATAATTATGTATCCATTACTAAATGAAATAAAATCCTTCAACCAGAATATCAGCACTCCAAACTGGCCAAGTATTCTCGGAACGTTTTTAGTGCAAGGATGTCCTAGAATTAAGAAGACAAAAACCAAGGACATCCTAGCGCTGAGATCGTTTCGAGAATATGTGGCCTGATCACCTCAAAATAAAAAAAAAGGTTCACTTACCAACTACCATAAACTCAGTTTCAGCAAAACTGGATCCAAAATTATTTTCACCATAGCAACGGATACTTCCTGTTTTATCAGCCCTGATCTTAAGTTGAGATTCAACCTGGGTTCCAGTGATTTGGTATTGTAGCGTGGTATCGGTGATGTTTATCCAATCAGTACAGTTGTCCTCAGTACAGTTGTTGAATAACCAAGAGATAGTAGCCACAGGGTAACTTATAGTTTGACATTCTAGTTTTACCAAGGTACCTGCTAGCGGTTTAACTGGAGGTTTACCAATCCAACTCACTTCCGGTGGACCTGCAATTATAAAACTGACCATTGTAATAGAGTTCATATAAAAATAAATATGATGAATTGATGAAAAAAGATGGAAAAGGCAGCCATTGTCACTACAGCCATTTTAAAATTTGAAGGGTTTGTAAAGAGGTTTTCTAGTCTATATATGTGTATAGCAGACGTCTTTGGTTCTTGCAATTCTTAATGATAGCTATGTCATAAAATGCTAACCTTTTAATAATTCCTTTAAACCCCCATTTTCCTTGCAAAACAACTAATAAAAAAATAATGGTTCACCTTTGATAATGAGGTTCATTGAAGCATTAGCCGTCATGTCTGGTGTTTTAGCTTTTAAAACGTATTTGCCCATCTTGTCTCTCGTTGGTTGAAAAACAGTCAGAGCTGCAGCATGGTCCACTTGTCTGAAATTAATAAATATCATTACAATAGCCATGGTTGGCCATTTTTGGGGGTTGATTTGGGTCTTGAATGTTTTCAGAAGTACTAGAACTGTACAAAAATCGCCAAAACTTGGATTTATAGCTCAAACTAGGAATTTCACTTTCTATTTTACATTATGTCTTTTCTATATATGACGTTGTCTCAAGAGTTGTAATTTCAATCGCAGATAATTCTGAACAGACATGGATTTGAAGGCCCAAATTCCTGCTTTTGTCTGACATACCCATAACTATAAAATCTGTTGTTTTCTATTTTCTCATCTTCAAAATACCATTCTAGTTCTGGGGCAGGGAAAGCATTGATTTCAAAATACATAAAGGCTTTTTTATCTCCCACGACCACTTCTACATCATCACTTGGGGTCAGATAGACAAACGTTTTCTCTGGAAATATTAAGAACGTTTAATTTATTCAATAATTCACTTTTGAAATATGTAGATAACATTGGTGAAAAGTTGGGGATTCAAATGGGATTGAAAACAGAGATTCTTTGCACTTTTAATCATCCTTTGACAGTTGGAATTTGTATAATTAATGAAGCTGTTCAGCTGTTCTGGAAAATTTCCCTCATTGCACACATCATAAGCCAAATCAGCTGATCATTTCATAGTTCTTGGTGACACTCTGTAACTGGATTTGTCAACTTAGCAATTCTTTCAGAGAGTCTACATAACTAATTTAATGTTTATTTGGTATGAAGATTCATCAACTCAGCTTTAGAGAGTCTGCATAGCTAATAAGGTTTATTTGATATTTAGGTCTGTTAACTTGGCATATCTCTTTAGAGAGTCCACATGTATAGTAATATTTATTCAGTTTCCATTTCCATCTAAATAAAATATAAAACATTGACTAACCGTAAACATTAATAATCTGATCGGAGAAGGCCATCTGGTCAAAGTTTTTAATGGTACAACGATAAACTCCACGATCTTGTAGTTGTATTTTATCAATATCAAGTGATCTTGATATCTGACTGTACGTAGCATCACCTGATTTCATTGGTTGTCGTATGGCGATAGATGGCCGTATTCTACCATTGTTCTAAAATATCAATTTATGATGAATATATACCATATATTTCCGAATATAATGCGCACCTGTGTATAATGCGCACCCCTTCCTTTTCCCACTAAACATCCCTTCACTAAATCGTACCTTAGTCTCAGAAAAGTAATTTTTTAGCCACGTTAATCAGCAACAGTATTCACAGCTTACAGTTTAACCTTCTGAGTCACGTGTATGCATAGATATCAGCATTTGAAAGTTACATTGACAACATAAACATTATTGCAGATAATGACTTTT